CCTCCCCCTAAAAAGGGAAAATAACTTGTGTGGTAGAAAATTGATAGCAGAGTCCGCTCAAGGTCACGCTTGCAGTTAAGAAGAGAGTGGCCTTGGTTTTGTGGACCATCCTGGCTTTTATCTCCTGGCCTACACCGTTATGAACTGAGCACTGTACCTCACTTCCCTTAAGTAACTACTGTTTAAAATGATCAATTGTGTGAAGAATTGCTTGGGCTCTGTGCACTGGAAGTCATTAGACTTTATTTAAGTCCTTGGGAACTGAGATATGTTTAAGAAAATAGTAGGTGGAGGGAAGGAAGCAGCCAAGTGGCCAGAGAATTTTAGTCTTGAAAATGGACACTGGGAATAATTAATTGAAAATAGAAAATTAATGTTTTCTAACTTCAGTGATTTGTGTACCTCCTTTATGGTTTTTGCCATATCATTGAACCTTCGATGTACTATTTACTTGGACTCCAGACTCAGGAAGATCTGGGTTTGAATACTGTTTCTGCCACCTTTTTTTTTTTTTTTTTTTTTTTTTGTAAACTGAAAGCAAGTTTATTAAGAAAGGAATAAAATAGAGCAGTCTGTTTCTGCCACTTATAAGATGGGTGACTTTGGGCAGGTCACTCCATGTCTGAGCCCCAGTTTTTATTGTCTTAAAATGGAAATAATAAGGCCGGGCACGGTGGCTCAGACCTGTAATCCCAGCACTTTGGGAGGCTGAGGCGGGCAGACCTCGAGGTCAGGAGTTCGAGACCAACTTGGCCAACATGGTGAAACCCCATCTCTACTAAAGATACAAAAATTATCCGGACATGGTGGTGCATGCCTGTAACCCCAGCTACTCAGGAGGCTGAGGCAGGAGAATCTCTTGAACCTGGGAGGCAGAGGTTGCAGTGAGCCGAGAACCTGCTAGAGAATCAGGGTGAGGAATAAATGAGATAGCATATTTAAAGTGGTTTTAGCAGAGTAGCACTCATTACATTTTAATTCTATTTTATTAGGCATTTAAAATCATTTTTTGGAACAAGGTTGTATGTGGAAGAATGAAGGAGGGAGTATATTGCTTCTTTACAGTATAGTGTAACATAGTCTACACCATAGTATAAATGTGATTTATACATTGTAATATTGAATTTATACCCAACATTTGTTTAATCAGGGTTCAAATGCAGTTTCCTCACTTCAGAGCTGTATGTCAACTGTTATTCTGTACTACTTCTCTCATAGTGGAAATTTCCCAAATTGTAGATAATGAGGTAAGCATGAATTAAGAAGAAACCTGAAAGGCTTAGTCACATTTTGGAAGAACACTTCTTGATTTAATCTAAATTAGGAATAGGAAGCTGTTGTAACACTTTATCATGGCAACTTTGGAGGAAAAAATGACATGAAACTACTACATACGTTAGAAGGCAGGCCAAGGACTCAGGAATACAGTTTAGCTACTTTAGAAGGAAGAGAAAAGGGCCAAGCGTGGTGACTTACGCCTGTAATCCCAGCACTTTGGGAGGCCAAAGTGGGTGGATCACCTGAGGTCAGGAGTTTGAGACCAGCCTGCCCAACATGGTGAAACTCCGTCTCTACTAAAAATATAAAAATGAGCCAGGCATGGTGGCATGTGCCTGGAATCCCAGCTACTCAAGAGGCTGAGGCAGGAGAATTGCTTGAACCCAGGAGACGGAGGTTGCAGTGAGTCGAGACCAAGCCCCCGCACTCCAGCCTGTGTGACAGAGCAAGACTCCGTCTCAAAAATAAAATAAGGAAGGTAAAAGATCTGGAAGCCCAGAGGCGTCATTTAAAGGGAGCTGGTATAAAGTCATATAGAGCTTGTGTTTGGGGTCCTGTCTTTTTGTTTTGTTTTGTTTTGTTTTTGAGTCAGTCTCTCACTCTGAGATGAGTGTGGCTGTGTTCTAACAAAACTGTAATTACAAAAGCAAGTGGTTCACCAGCCGTAGATTGCCAAGCCCTGGCCTAGACTACAGTAATGTCTCCTAAGGCTGAGTCTGACTTGGACTATGTTTTCCTTCCTTCCTTCTTCCTATCTTGTCTCCTCACAGTCAAGGGGATCTTTTTTGTTGTTTCCTAGAGATGGGGTCTCGCTCCACCTTCCAGCTGGAGTGCAGTGGCTCGATCATAGCTCACTGTAACCTTAAACTCCCCGGCTCAAGCAGTCCTCCTGCCTCAGCCTCCTGAGTAGCTGGAACGACAGGAATGCACCACCACGCACAGCTAATTTTTTATTTTTTGTAGAGATGGGGGTTTTGCTGTGTTGCCCAGGCTGGTCTAGAACTCCTGGCCTCAAGCAGTCATCCCGCTTTGACCTCCCAAAGTGCTGGAGTTACCTTTGCTAGCCACCATGCTCTTGGCTGGGGATCTTTTAGAAGCATAAATCAGCATGTTACTCTCCTGCTTAAGACTTGTATTAGCTGCCCATCAGCCTTCCTGTAAAGTCTAAGCTCCTCACCATGACCTGAAAGGGTCCAGTATGAATCTACCACCTTTGGAACATATCTAGTTCCTTCTGCGCTGGCAAGATTGACTTCTTTTCCAGGCTCATGCCTACCAAGCTTGCTCCTGCCTCAGGGTGTTTGTACAAGTTCCTCTGTGTAGAACATACTTTCTCAGATTTTTATGTAGCCAGCTCCTCATTGTCACGTAGGACTCAGATGTCACTCCTCACAGTGGCCTTCCCATTCACCCCATTTAAAGCAGCTTCCTAAGCATGCTCTGTGTGACATTATCTTCTCTTATTGTGGTAATGCTTATCACCTGCCAAAATGATCAGTTTATTGATTATCTGGTTTACCTTTAACTTCCCCCAGCTGCTGACTCTTAAGTACTAGGCCTGGTGGTTCTCCCTCACCACAAAAGCTCCAGTGCCTCAAAAAGCCCATCACACAGTAGGTACTTAACATTTATTGGGTGAATTGCCTTGTTTTGCAACCATAGTGTAGTATTTTGGTGTGCTCAAGTATTCCTCTGCCTTCAGGGATCTTACTATCTTTTCAAAAACTATGAACTATGTGGTATTACCCTGGGGCATCATGCAGAGAGGAAGGAGACTTGCCTCAACATCACACAACTCATAAATGTAAGGGATGATGTCTGCTGTTTAAATCCTGCATTTGGTTTTCAGTATCATGATTGTCTTTGGTTGGTTGGTTGTTTCAAGTAATTTCTGTTGGTCCCAATAGGTCTGAGACTTCTGGGAACATTTGGACTAGCTCAGAGCTACCACTGAAGACTTTGCTCTGAGGGACAGCTGTGCTAGCTGCCCCCGATAGACCCCTGTTTTTTAACTTTAACTGAGGGACTAACATCAAGAGCAGTTGCTGTAAATATTCCTTTGGTTAAATGAAAGAGTTACTTTCTTATGAAGATCACATATAATTTCCTGCTGAGAACAAAGTAGATAAGAAGTTCTGCATACCATTTGTTTCTGGGGGAAATTTTTAACAGCTGTGTTCTGTTCTTTCACTGACAATAAATATTAAAAGTTGAAATACCTCTTAGAGATCATCTCCCTTTCTCTGCTGCAGGAATCCTTCTGAAATTGTTTGGACACTTCCAGTAAAGACAAGCTTATGTTACATCTCTATAGATCACACATCAATTTATAGAGATTAAAGTTTATAGGATGGGTGTATTCCTGAGGAATTGTCAGGCTGGGCACCATGACTCACACTTTTGAGCCATGGGATTAGCCAAAGTGCTAGTTCCTGCACTTTGCGAGACTGAGGCAGAAGGATTGCTTGAGCTCAGGAGTTCGAGACCAGTCTGGGCAACATATTGAGACCTCATCTCTATTAAAACTTTAAAAAAATAGGCTGGGCGCTGTGGCTTATGCATGTAATCCTAGCACTTTGGGAGGCCGAGGCAGACAGATCACCTGAGGTCAGGAGTTTGAGACCAGCCTGGCCAATGTGGTGAAACCCCGTCTCTGCTAAAAATACAAAAATTAGCTGGGCGTGGTGTTATACGCTTGTAATCCCAGCTACTTGGGAGGCTGAGGCAGGAGAATCGCTTGAACCCAGGAGGCAGAGGTGACAGTGAGCTGAGATCATGCCATTGCACTCCAGCCTGGGTGACAAGAGCAAATCTTCATCTCAAAAAAAAATAAAAATAAATTTTAAAAAATTTAGCTGGACATGGTGGTGCATACCTGTAGTCTCAGCTATTTGGGAGGCTGAGGCGGGAGGATCACTTGAGCTTGGGAAATTGAGGGTACAGTGAACAATGATCACATCACTGCACTCCAGCCTGGATGACAGAGTGAGACCCCTTTGTCACATTTGAGCACACAAGGCCATTCAAATATTCTTGGGGAATTTGTTGCATAAGCGAACCCTGTGAGAAAACCTAAACTTTCTGAAGAAAGTTCTTCAATTGTTGGCTCGCTTTTTTTTTTTTTTCTTAAGATGTGACATGCCTATATATTAAGAGGTGACTTAAAACTACTAATTTGCGGCCGGGTGTAGTGGCTCACGCCTGTAATCCCAGCACTTCGAGAGACCAAGGCGGGCGAATCACTTGAGATTGGGGGTTCAATACCAGCCTGACCAACATGGAGAAACTCCGTCTCTACTAAAAATACAAAATTAGCCGGGCGTGGTGGCGCATGCCTGTAATCCCTACTTGGGAGGCTGAGGCAGGAGAATCGCTTGAACCCGGGAGGCAGAGGTTGCGGTGAGCCAAGATCACGCCGTTGCACTCCAGCCTAGGCAACAAGAGTGAAACTCCGTCTCAAAAAAAAAAAAAAAGAAAGAAAAAGAATACTAATTTGTTTGTAGAGACACATTTTTGAAAGTACTCTGAAGACACATTATTATTAAGACCAAAAGAAAACTCACATAACAGTGAAAAGTGTTTGTGCTCTTTTGGTGCTGCCTTCCATTAATCTAGGTCAGGGGAGAAATGGGATAACAGCCCTTTAAAGAGGACACTTGTCTTTCTCCCTCAGATAGAGCCATGGTTTGTTACTGAGTGTTTAAATCTGATTCTCTCTGTAGATTGCTGCTAAAATTGATTCAATTCCTCACTTGAATAATTCCACACCTCTAGTGGACCCCTCAGTATATGGATATGGAGTACAAAAACGGCCCTTGGATGATGGAGGTAAGTTGCCAGAAATATCTTTGCCTTTCAGGTGGTAGTGAACCTGCCAGTTAAGTTTGAATTTGTCAGCCATTACCTTAACGACTCTCTGAAGTGTCACTCTGTCCAGAGGAATGGTTGAAGGGAAGTATTTAGGATGGTTTTTCGCAGCAGTCCTTCAGCATTTGAGTTCCTATTTGCCTTGATAATACAGAAATCTTTTCACTGGGCTCTGAGATAAAGACTTGGCCCCTGAGCATCAGCTTGGAAGTAATTTGACCTATTTGAGAATTTTGTTTGATTTAGCCCTCTGTTCTTCAGTGCGCGTGGGAATTGAAGTTCCCACTTTCTCCAAAGAAAGCTACGATTTGGTGCATGCCTCAAGGGAAGCTGTGGCTACATCTTGACCTTAAAGAGAAGAATGGTGACCTTTCTACAGTCTGGCTGCTAGATTTTTCACCATTCCCATTTATGTCAGGCTTTTTCTAGAAGCATCCCTTTTCTTTAATTCATTTATTTGTTTGTTGTTTTGTTGGCTGGTTTATATACCCTACTCCATCCCCAAAAGAATTTGAGAACACTTAGAAGGGGCCATCCCCAGCACTCTGGCAGAGTTATCTATCAGATGTGTTTCTGTAGAGAGCTTGGGCATCTTTATCATATTTTGTCTCCTGTTACTATAGAAGAGATAGTGAAATACACTAGATTGACATGAATTTGCATGTAGTCAAGTGAGTCGGTGTCTTCTCTGTGTTCTTTTTCTGTCGCTGTGTACCCAGTCATTTATGTTTGTACATATTTCTATGATGTATTATGTGAAAAATGAAGGTGTAGAGCAGTATGTATTGTATAATCTTTTCTCCCAAAAGTGCATGTTTTTATGTACATAGAAAAATATAATTTGCCATGAATCATTTCTCTGGTCTCTAGGAATTCTGGTTTTCTTTTTAATCCCCCCTTAGCGATGGGATCACACTCTGCTCAGGCTAGAGTGCACTGGCGCTGTTGAACTCCTGGGCTCCAGTGATCCTCCCACCTCGGCCTCCCAAGTAGCTGGGACTACAGGCATGAGCCACCACGCCTCCTAGTGCATTTTTAAATTCTCCAGTTCATAGACTTGTTCACAAATCTCAATGTCCTGAATAAACCCTATGTTAAGGTTCTTTTTAGTTAACTTAAGAGTTGAAGTATTTTATTTTATTTATAATTTTTGTGACTGCATAGGTGTATATATTTATGGGGTACATGAGATGTTTTGATGCAGGCCTGCAATGTGAAATAAGCACATCGTGGAAAATGGGGGTATCCATCCCCTCAAGCATTTATCTTTTGAGTTACAAACAATCCAGTTACTCTCTTTATTTTAAAATGTACAATTAAGTTATTGTTGGCTATAGTCACCCTGTTGTGCTATCAAATAGTAGGTCTTATTCGTACCCATTAACCCCCCTTGCCCACCTCCCCGAGCCCCTTTTGCCCCCTACTACCCTTCCCAGCCTCTGGTAACCATCCTTCTACTCTCTGTGTCCATGAGTTCAACTGTTTTGATTTTTATATCGCATAAATAAGTGAGAACATGTAATTTTTGTCTTTCTCCGCCTGGCTTATTTCACTTAACATAATGCTCTCCAGTTCCATCCATGTTGTTGCAAATGACTGGATCTCATTCTTTTTTATGGCTGAGTTGAAGCGTTTTTAAATAGACCCAAATAACACCTCCAAAAAGTTCTAGAGGACTGAACTTCAACCTCCTAAAGGTTAAAGAACCCTGCTTCAAGGGAAAGTTAGAAAGTTCATATTGCTAAAGAAGTGGTCTGGTAGCCTCTGTCAAAGGTAACCCAAGCCAAACCAAACAAACAGCTACACAGCCTTTGGAAATCTTTATTGCTAAGAAAAATATGCCAGAATTCCGGCGGCTTGGTCTGCCTCTGCTTTTCTAAACTTTTCATCACACCATCAGCAAGACTGTGAGCCCAGAAGGCAGCCAGGTAAACATGAACATCACTTCCCTTCACAGGATCTGCTTGTTCACATTCTTACTCTCTTAAGAGAGTGGCCCAGTGACCTTCCCCCTACCAGAAGACAAGTGACAAAATGGGGCTGTGGCAGTCCCCAGACGCTGAGACCAACGCAGAACTCAAATTCTACACATGGAGAAGAGCTTGGAGAAGAAAACAATATGTGTAATCCTGTGATTTAAACAGTGCTCCCCAGAAGACAGGATTCATTTTTTCAAGCTCTAATGCAGAATGTAAGAAGCCTGAAGGAAATTCCTTTTTCTTCAAATACAGCCTGTGGTCACATAAGACCAGGTGTTCAGGGAGGACAGGAGGTTCAGCACGACACAGAAACTTTCCTTCTTGCTATAGGAGGGGTTCATATTTAGAGGGAAGAGAAAGATAAACCATGGTCATTTTCTGTTTGTAAAGACTTATTCCCCAAAAGGTACACATGGAAAAAAATATGGTTATCAAAACAAAGAAGTGAAAATACGCAATATACTAATGAACCCCTGAGGTTTTAAGTGAGATTCTGGACCTACGGGGTGATCTTGGCCAAGTCAACTACATCTGCCTGTGACCCAGTTCTCTTTGTCAATACTGATAATGTCTTTATTAGTGCTAATTTCTTTCAAATGTGTGGGCAATGGACTAATGGGAGAAAAATGTCTGCAAAATGCTAAAGGGCTTCGTTTGCAAATATTTAGGTATTCCTTATGCAGAGGACACAGCAGATACCTGCTCACTGCAAGCACAGGTTTTAACACTTCAGCTCCACGCAGTGAGTGAAAAAAACAAGGCTGAATTGTGAAATTGTTGTGAAAGGCTGAATGAGTTGTGAAATATATTGATTTCGATTTCTGGAAACACTGGGCCAAAGACACACTGTCCTTTAATGGGCTATGTGCACAGGGGCAGACAACTTAGTTTTTACTTTGCTGTCTCCGAAGAGGAACCAAAGTATGATTGCCCCGAAAAGATAAAAAGGTTAATTTGCATTACAGCTTTCTGCTAAGGCAAAAATGCCGATAATGCAGTCACCCCTATTTGGCCTAGGGAGTCACGAACACCAGTCAAATATAAAAAGATCACAGCTTGTTATTTTGGATAAGCAGTTTAAATGGTTATCTTAGTTCCGGTGGCCCTGGGGTGAATTTTCTGTTTTGTGGTCATAAACACTTTGTAAATACACAAGAACTTTTACAATCAAATGAGTGCTGTCCCCTTAAAATCTTCAGTGTGAGTCTCAAGAATTTTCCCGCAAAGGCTCCCACATCTAAAAACAATGGCCATCTCCTCTTAGAATTCCTAGAGATGCCCGACATGGTGGCTCACACCTGTAATCCCAGCTACCCAGGAGGCTGAGGTAGTGTGAAAGCTCGAGCCCAGGCATTCGAGGCCAGCCTGGGCAACATGGCAAAACCATATCTCCGAAAAATAAATATTTAAGGCCGGGCACTATGGCTCACACCTGTAATCCCAGCAGTTTGGGAGGCCGAGGCGGGCGAATCATGAGGTCAGGAGATTGAGACCATCCTGGCTAACATGGTGAAACCCGTCTCTACTAAAAATACAAAAGATTAGCTAGATGCCGTTGCCTGCACCTATAGTCCCAGCTACTTGGGAGGCTGAGGCAGGAGAATCACTTAAGCCTGGGGTGTGGAGGTTGCAGTGAGCCAAGATCGCGCCACTGCACTCCAGCCTGGGCAATAGAGCGAGACTCTGTCTCAAAAAATGTGTGTGTGTGTGTGTCTGTGTGTGTGTGTGTGTGTGTGTGTGTGTGTATAAAGGTTTTTTTTAATGTGCTAGGCAGTGGAACAAGGGGAAGGATTTGTTCCTGATATAGAAAAGGGATTTGGGTTAGTTGTGTTTCAGGGAGTGGCGGTTTTGAGCCGGCTGTCAGAATGCTGTTCATGAGCCTGCTTAGAACCCAGAGCAGAATTTAGAGCTCAGTGTGAAAGCTTGCCTGGATGCCTCTCCCTGGGAGGTAGCTGTCACCAGTCACTCCACCGCCCTCCAGCTTTGGATCAGGCCATTTTAACCTTCCCTGTCTTCAATCTTGACACCCACATGTTCCAGCAGTCTTTGATATGCATCCTTGGCACCCCACCAGTTCAGGAATCTGCCTTCTGGTCTCAGTTGTGGCACCTTTTCCATCCAGTACGTCTCTCATGCTTCAGCTGGAGCATCTCCCTGCAGTCAGTCCAACCAGTTTCATTCCTCCAGTAGCCAGGGAGGTGCAGATCTTCCAACCTGGCCGTCGCCTGCCCTCCCTGCTTGGCTCCTCCCGTGCACCCTGTACAGCAGCCTGGACGGCTGTCTCTTCTCTCTCCTCTCTCACCCAGCTCTTAACCTGCCCCACTCCTGCTCAGCCAGCTTCCTCCTAGAAACCTATCCTCTTCTGTATCTTTTGACTTTCTTCAGTGCTCAGCCCACATGCCACCTAGCCTCTTGGTCTTCTCTCTACCCTTTCCTTCCTTCCTTCCTTCCTTCCTTCCTTCCTTCCTTCCTCCCTTCCTTCCTCCCTCCCTCCCTTCCTTCCCTTCCTTCCTCCCTCCCTTCCTTCCCTTCCTTCCCTTCCTTCCCTTCCTTCCCTTCCTTCCCTTCCTTCCCTTCCTCCCTTCCTCCCTTCCTCCTTTCCTCCCTCCCTCCCCTTTTCCCTTTTCCCTTTTTCATACACCCACCTCACTAGTGAATATTAAGTCATATCCTTCTCTTAATTTCTAAAGCAGTGTGTTTGGCCTCTGCTTGGGGCAGACAACATCCCATCCTTCCTTCTGCGGTTTCTGGGTCCCGCCACACCTCCTAGCAGAGCCTACGTGATGTGGCCATAGATACTGGCCTCATTTCCCATGGACTCTTCATGCTCAAGTTCCCCCGTTTCCTACGATTAGCATTTTAAAATTTTGGAAAAAGTAACTTCCAAATTTAAGAGAATAATATTAGCTAAGTGATTTAGAAGTGCAAATTTAAATGTAATCTAAATTAGAGGTTGGCAAGCTTTTCTTTTTTCTTTTTTTTTTAAGACAGGGTCTTGCTGAGGCTGGAGTGCAGTGGGGCAATCATGGTTCACTGCAGCCTCTACCCCCCAGACTCAGGTGATCCTCCCACCTCAGCCTCCTGAGTAGCTGGGACTGCACTGCACCTGGCAACAAGCTTTTTTTTATAAGGGACCAGATAGTAAGCATTTTAGGGGCCAGGCATGGTGGCTTATGCCTATAATCCCAGCACTTTGGGAGGCCGAGGTGGGAGGATTGCTCGCATCCAGGAGTTTGAGACCAGCCTGGGCAATGTAGCAAGACCCCATCTCTACAAAAAAAAAGAAAAAAGATTAGCTGGGTGTGGTGGTGCATGCCTGTAGCTGCAGCTAGCTACTCAGGAGGCTGAGGCGGGAGGATTTCCTGAGCCTGGGAGGTTAAGACCACAGCGAGCAGTGATCGCACCTCTGCACTCAGCTTGGGCGACATAGTGATCTCAAAACAAACAAAAATAAATGTAAGGTTGCAGGCTATGTATCCCACCTACTAAGCTACACTATTAGAGTTCAGAAACAGCTGTAGCATCTGTATAAACAAATGAGCATGGCTGTGAGCCACTAAGATATTTCACAGAAACAGGCAGCTGGCCCTCAAGCTTAATTTGCCAGTCCTCAGCTAAAATCAGCCTCATCAGTTGATGAACATTTTCTTCATCTTTAGTTAGGGAAGTATATAGAGAGTACCCCTCCCCCAGTTTCTTTAAACAAGTCTCCTGTCTCATGGTTCACTGTCCAGCTGCCCTGACCACCGAAAGTGCTTTTTCATGTTTGCCCAGAGCTGATGGCCAGACGGAGAAGTCACTTCCCATTTGCCCCTGTGTATCTCTCCTGATCCAAGATCAAAGCCTTTCGAGTTTTCTTCCTCAGGAGAGTTTTAAGGAGCTTTCTTAGTTGAACTAAGCAGGCCTTACCCTCCCCTGCATTCTGTGTAGTGGGTGGCACCAAAATGAGGGCTTCGGGAAAGTACAGCACTGTCCTCACCACTAGGGTGGCGGGGGAAAGGCCACGCAAGGGGCTTTGAAACTGTGCTTGCCTCTTCTCCCGAAGACTCGCCTTTGCTATTTATGTGGCACCTTCTTTTTTCCTTTTTATTCTTTTTACTTCGTGAGCTGCTGAAGAAAGCACCTTTTATGTAGTGCCACACTTCCTAATTTTGATAATAGAGTTGTTCCCCGTTTATTCATGACTTCATTTTCCCACAGTCAACCACTGCCAAAAATATTAAATGGAAAAATGGAAAATTCTAGAAATAATTCCTTTTTTTTTTTTGAGACGGAGTCTTGCTCTGTCACCCAGACTGGAGCGTAGTGGTGCGATCTTGGCTCACTGCAACCTCTACCTCCCGGGTTCAAGCAATTCTCCTGCCTGCCTCAGCCTCCCGATTAGCTGGGATTACAGGCATGCGCCACCACAGCCAGCTAATTTTTGTATTTTTAGTAGAGATGGGGTTTCACCATGTTGGCCAGGCTGTTCTTGAAAGCCTGACCTCGTGATCCACCTGCCTCTGCCTCCCAAAGTGCTGGGATTACGGACGTGAGCTACCGCACCCGGCCAATTCCTAATTTTTAAATTGTACACCATTCTGAGTAGCATGTGTATCCACACTGTGTACACTACCCACTCACCAATGTATAGGAAAAAATATAGTATATACAGGGTTTGGTGCTCTCAATGGTTTCAGCCACCTACCAGGGGTCTATGGAACATATCCCTCATGGACGAGGGGAAATTGCTGTATTATTACGAGGTAAAGGACGAATTCTTGGGCGTACTGCCAAGTGAATTATTTGCAGGAAGAGTGAAATAGACTATTTCTATGATCCTTTCCAAGCTTTGTTTCAGTACTTGTGGCATAGGGCAAGGACTGAAGAGGAGGACAGGAAGGAGGAAAAAAAGGAATGAGGAGAAAAAGACGTTTGAAAATCCAAGACCTTAAGGAGAGACAGGAGATAGGAGGTACAAGTGGTAGCGGGTGGTGAGAGCCATGATGCCCGGACCCCTGCCTGTGACCTGCACCCCAGGCAGGTGCTGCAGGCACCAGTCTCCACTCTGGAAAGAGGAAAGCGAATCTCAGGGGTGTTGATACTTTCCCTGAATGGGGGATGATGACAGATGCTGGAGGGATGAAAAGCCAAAACCAAAACCTAGTTCCTGAGGGTAGGAGGGGTTAGGAGGAAGGTTTGCCTTTTGTGAAGAGGGAAGAGGGAAAGTGAGACTGGGATGTGGTTGGGCAGTTGTCGTCAAGGGCAGATGAAGGCTTTCCGGGAGCAGGTGGACATGGGCAGGCTTCCCAGGTTCCTTTTCCAGCTCCTTGCCTCCTGTCTGCCCTCTTCCCTAAAATGGGCCTTTCTGAGAGTCACGTCTGCCCCAGAAGTTTATGCCTTTCCTGCCACGCCCCTTCTCCCATTCTCCGCTTTTGGTGTACCGTGGGCAGTCACCTGGGGTGGAAAAATCCCCAAGCAGTGGGGCCAGGCAAGAATTCTGAATAGAGAATCCCAAGGTAACAAAGGGTAGAGCCTTGGTAAGAAATAGTGAAGGGAGGCTGGGCATGGGGGCTCAACCCTGTAATCCCAGCACTTTGGGAGGCTGAAGTGGGAAGATCACCTAAGGTCAGGAGTTCAAGACCAGCCTGGTCAACGTGGTGAAACCCAGTCTTTACTAAAAATACAAAAATTGGCCAGACGTGGTGGCTTGCATCTGTAGTCCCAGCTACTCGGGAGGCTGAGGTGGGAGAATGGCCTGAATCCGGGAGGCAGAGGTTGCAGTGGGCCAACATCATATCACTGCACTCCAGCCTGGGCAACAGAACAAGACTGTCTCCAAAAAAAAAAAGAAATAGTGAAGGGGACAGGGTCTGATTTTATCCAGTTGACAACTCCTGGCAAAGGCTCTGTGCCCTACCCCCCACCTCAGCCACCCCCATTTGTTTCTTCCTCCCTTCACCCATCTATCCATGTTAGGGTTATAATTCAGAAGTGAGATGATAGTTACATGGGTACATACATATGTGTAAGCTGATTCAGAAGTGAGATGATAGTTACATGGGTACATACATACGTGTAAGCTGGAAAAAGGCAGAGAGATTTTTCCCCTTGGCAAAGCATGATCTGGCTGGTTGGTTGACAGTTGGCTTAGCCAGCTGGGTAAAATAGTAGACATTTTCCACAAAAATGAATGAGCTAAACCTGTGGCATCAATGTTGTGACAAAAATATAACTCGAGCTCATGTACAGTGCCTGTTACATTCTTCATGGCTGTTAATAGGGAGGAAAAGTAGTTGCCAAATGAAAAGAGGATTCATAGGTTTCCAGAGTTCAACTTGATGGTACAACCACTCTCGAATACAGTTTTGGAGTGTTACAAAACTAAACCTGCACTTATGCACAGTCCACAATTGCACTGTTGGGCATTTATCCCCAAGAAATGAAAATGTTCACACAGGAGCCTGTTCACATAGCAGCTTTGTTCGTAATAGTCCCACTGAAAACAGCCCACCTGTCCTTCAAGTGATGAATGGTTCTGCTGCGATACAGCCATACCGTGGAATATTACTCAGTGGTGAAACGGAACAAATGCTGAGTACATCCAGCAACTTGGATGAATCTCCAGGGTGGCAAAAGCCAATCCCAAAAAACTACATACTGCATGATCCCATTTGTGTAACCTTTTGGGAACGGAGAACAGATTAGTGGTTGCCAGGGGTTAGGGATTGAGTCGGAGGAGAGGGGGTCGTGTGAGATCACAGCCAGAAGGGAACCTGAAGCTTAAACTCCTTATTGTTGTAGATGAGGAAACCAGTTTCTGAAGAAGTAAGTGGTTTGACCAAGGCCAGATAGATACATGGTAAGTGACAGAAGGGAAGTTGAACCTGGGTCTCTGTCTCATGTGCCCTAATAGTTTAGTACTTAAACATGTGGACTTCAGAGTCTGAGAGATCAAGGCTTGAATCCCAGCTTTGCTAGGTGTTAGCTGTTTGACCCCGGGCAAGTTCCTTAATATCTCTGAGCCTGTGTTTCCCCGTCTGTAAAATGGACCTGATGATAACCTGCCTCATCAGATTATCATGAAGGTTGTATCTCATTATTTTCAAACTTTAAGAAATACCACTCCCGGGCCGGGTGCGGTGGCTCACGCCTGTAATCTCAGCACTTTGGGAGGCCGAGGCAGGTGATCACGAGGTCAGGAGATGGAGACCGCCCTGACCAACATGGTGAAACCCCATCTCTACTAAAACACAAAAAATTAGCTGGGCATGGTGGTGCGTGCCTTTAGTGCCAGCTACTCGGGAGGCTGAGGCAGGGGAATTGCTTGAACCCAGGAGGTGGAGATTGCAGTGAGCCAAGATCGTGCCACTGCACTCCAGCCTGGTGACAGAGCAAGACTCTGTCTCAAACAAAAAAGAAAAAATACCACTCTCCATATGAGAAAAACTGTTTCCATCAGAACTAGTTAGTACAGATGTATTAAAACACGTATGTGACTGAAATGAAAGTTTTATGAAATACATTACCCTTTTTATATATGGTACATTCTGTTTTCTCTTTCATGTTTTAATAAAGCTGGTTGTGACCCCCTGTATTGATTTCATGACACTGGCGTAAATGAAAGTAAAGCTTAGGGCTATGAGTATAGTATCATAGAATTCTTTTTCCTCTTAGGCACTTGGGGAGAAGGTGCAGGGCCCAACGTGTCCCTGGAGGCTAGGGTAGGCCTCCTCATCTGTTGCCTTCTGCCTTCCCTGCTAGACTCTAAGCTCCCTGAGGGCAAAGGTGACTTTGTTAGATTGTTGTATCCTCAAGTCCTGTCACAGTGCTCAGCACCTGGAAGGCACTGACCTGTGAGATGAAGAATGATCAAGAGAGTTAATATCACAAAATTAAACGGTGATAAGTGTTGAAACCCACAAGATTAGAGGACAGGGGAAGATGAAGCGGTACAGAGTTTGCACGGGCACAGGCCCCTTGCCTGCATGCCATTCTGAGGGCTTGGGTGCAGTGCGATAGCACCTTCCTCTTCAGTTAGATGGGAATGGCAGTGACAGTAGCTGCCTCAAAGGTGGGTTATTGTAGGACCAGGTGGGTTCATGCAGGTGAGGCGCCCAGGAAAGCACCTAGTGTGGCTGGGGGTGGGGGGTGTTCTTTCCACTCACAGAAGTTTATAGTAGACTGCAGGTAAGAGTGATGTGATTGGCTGGCACAGTGGCTCACCCTGTAATCCCAGCACTTTGGGAGGCTGAGGCAGGCGGATCACCTGGGTCAGAAGTTTGAGACCAGCCTGGCCAACATGGTGAAACCCCGTCTCTACTAAAAGTACAAAAATTAGCTGGGCGTGGTGGCGCACACCTGTAATCCTGGCTACTTGGGAGGCTGAAGCAGGAGAATCACCTGAACCCAGGAGACAGAGGTTGCAGTGAGCCAAGATCGCGCCACGGCACCCCAGCCTGGGAGACAGAGCGAGACTGTCTCAGACAACAACAACAAAAAAGAGTGACATTATTGAGATAAACTTGAATTTACTTTCACTTTTTAAAAATAATTTGCAAAATTAATAAATTATGCTTGCCAAAGTACTTTCAGCTGAACTCAGCATGTCAGTGTTTCGTGGCCCTGGAGCAAGAGTTGCTGCCTAGAACACAGGAGGCCTTTGTAGTGTCCCTGGGGGAAAAGCTTTCTAAAAACTCCCTGAATCTGCACCGCTAAGTGTGTGTTACTGACCTGAGGTGGGGCGTGGAAAGCCATTGGTCAGTCAGAGGAGACTGCACATCCAAAGAAGAGGCAGAGGAGGGAGGATTGTTTTCAAATTCTAAAGAAGATTTGGGTTATTTGCTTTTGCAGTTATAAATATTGGTATTCCCCTCCCCCCCCACAACAGACTCACTCACCTGCCTCTGGCCAGTGGTTCCGTGTGGGTGTGCTGGCTGAGCTGTTGTGAAGGAGGAATTGGCACTTTTGTTCCTTGTGCTGGGGTGGGAGTGGGGGTGTAACTATTAAAGCTGATGTGACTGGGCAGTGTGGCTCACGCCTGTAATCCCCGCACTTTGGGAGGCCAAGGCAGGTGGATCACCTGAGGTCGGGAGTTCGAGACCAGCCTGACCAACATGGAGAAACCCTGTCTCTACTAAAAATACAAAATTAGCTGGGCGTGGTGGGCATGCCTGTAGTCCCGGCTACTCAGGAGGCTGAGGCAGGAGAATCGCTTGAACCCAGGAGGCAGAGGTTGCTGTGAGCCAAGATCGCGCCACTGCACTCCAGCCTGGGCAACAAGAGTGAAACTCTGTCTCGGAAAAAAGAAAAAAAAAAAAGCTGATGCATATTGCAAAGTTGCGTGTATTTCCCAGTGCTGTTTTGTTTCTTTCAGAGGAAGAAAAAAAATGAAGTCTTTTTTTTTTCTCTTCATTAGCAGGGAAAAAATGTCTGATCACCTTTTTTTGTTTGTTTTTGTTTGTTTTATTTTTGAGATAGTTTTGCTCTGTCATCCAGGCTGGAGTGCAGTGACACGATCCCGGCTCACTGCAACTTCCGCCTCCTTTGTTCATTGCATGCCAGCCTCCCGAGTAGCTGGGGTTACAGATGTGTACCACCACACCCAGCACATTTTTGTATTTTTTTCTTTTTTTTTTTTTTTTTTTTTTTTTTTTTTTACTAAAGACAGGGTTTCACCGTGTTGGCCAGACAGGTCTCGAACTCCTGGCCTCAAGTTACCTGCCCGCCTTGGCCTCCCAAAGTGCTGGGATTACAGGCATGAGTGGCCACACCTGACCTGACCTTTTTTTTTTTAAGATTATTATTAAAATTGGCAGAGTATTACTCTTCAGAAAGAATTTATGATTTTGTGGAATGACTCACAGCCCAGGCAGTTTGTATTACATAGTGCACAAGGGAAATGAGAACTACACCTGGATGTGCTGGAATTGCTCCAGGGGGACCTTTGGAAGCAAGAAGATGATGCATTGTCAACCAGCACACGCCATTAGTGGAAATAGGACTGATTTTACCCAGCATTTTTCCTTTTTTCCAGGAAAATGAGTGTAGTTCCATTCAATTGAACATGATAGGTGTTCCCATCTGCCTCCTTAGTGTGACCCCTTCTCGTTGCGAAGACTAAGGAGAGGTTCCTGTTCCTGGAGTTGGACATAGAACTTGGCCATATGAGTACCCAATGCCCCGATCTAACTGCTGGTTTTCATTTTTAGGCACCAAATGGGAACGTTCTGAAGGGAATGAAACTGTAATCGCATGTTTCAACCTTGGGTGGACTCCAGAATTTGCATGGAGGAGGGAGATGATTTATCCTTCCTAAGCATCCGCCAGCTCAGAGTTGACTCTGGGCTTGAACCTGATTTCCTCTCAGTGGTGTAGCTCTCAGCAGCCCATCTATTTGGGATGATAGTGTGTACATTTCCATCTCTGGCCATTGTGAGTGCCTCCACTGTGGCTGGTCGGAATGGTGTTGTGTGCGTGGCACCTGTAACACATACTTTGCCAACAAAAAGGAATTGCCATTTTTGTGATGAGCACAAAATTTCAAATGGCTTTTGAACAGGAGCTCTCTGAATATTCTTGTGAATCTCAGGGAGTTCTTTATGGTAGCACTACCCTTTGTTTCTGTGGCTTCTCTGGCTGAGACAGAAATTTCTGAAGATCATCGGCCCTTTGACATCCTTTACCAAACAACACAGTGAACCAGGACCCACGGTGCGGCCTCTGCCCCAGCTGAGGAATGCTGAGTACCTCTCCTCTGTGTTCTCATCATTTCAAGACATTTTAGTTCTTCTGGCTTCAGTAGATTCTTTACCCACAAAGAGGGGGATTCTGATAGCAATCAGGGAAGCTCAGCTGACTGAGGAACAGCTAACAGGCTCGCAGGGGCTCTGACATGGACATTCTCCTTTGCTGTGTTTCTTTTCCTCCCCACTGCCCTGTGTGGCCAATGTTCCTCCCTCAGGAATGTCTCAGCCCCGACACTATTCAGGGCCTGAGTCTGTGGTGAGGATTCCTTTCCCGACCTGGCGGTTGTCCAGTTTTCCTGCAAAATGGGAATTGTGAGCACTACCTGTTCCAAGCAAGAATGTTTGTTATATTCAAACAGATATGCAAAGAGAAAATTTTAAGAGTCAATAAAAAACAATTCTCGTATCCCTGAGATAAGCAGATTAATAGTGTCGAGTGTCAATATTTTGGCTGTAGACCATTATCTTGTTATCGATCCAGAAGAAATATGGTATTGACTCAGTAGCTTCGTTTACTTTTTGCTAGCATTGTTTTGCTTTGCTTTTTCTTCTTTTTAAATGTCACGGTCTGCTTTTTTTCCTTTGTCTCTTCACTGTCCAGTCAGAAAATGACAGCACTGAGTTTGAGCACAAGCAGAGCAGTTGGTTCCCTGTTTCAGATGTAGTTCGGTTGTCAAATCATTTCATTCTCTGACCTCAAGTGGGTGGAATCGATCCTTTCCGACTTACCTCATGTCCTTAGAATAACTTTCCCCAAAGACGTATTTCTGAATGCCCTTTTTAGCATCTTGTAAGGTGCGTTTGGTCGGTTCTTTGTGATATGTTTAGGATTTGTACTTTTTCATTGTTTGCTGACTGTTTCCTGAGCTGCATTTTCCAAAAGAGAAAGACTACAGAATCATTTTTGCTGATGGCTGGTGAAGGAGACACTCATCAATAGCTGAAAGAGGAGAAACTGGAACAAAAAGCGTAGCTAAAGTGGTTTTGTGGGAATGTGATTACAGAGTTGGTTTTAATAATAAGAGGCTGTTTGGCACCGTTGTCTCTGTGAAATGGGCTTGAAAGGCAGTTGCTCATTCTTAGTGTCCACTGCACATGGACTGCTCTGGTGGGTCCGTGACGAGGCCTGTGGAGGGAGGAGGCCAGATCCTCTCCTTCAGATGCTTATGCTGTTGGTGGGGGGGGATCCGGTGGGGGGGCACCAGGGGGCGTCTCCTGCCCCGTGGCCAGGAGGAGCATATGTGCGTGTTCCTCATGACTACAGCTGCTGTGGGGCAGTCCTTAACAATGCATCCAAGGAGGGTCAATCTTCTCATTTGTTTTTAAAAAAGGATCTCTTTCCATCTTTACATTGAGTTTGGATCCAGAGCAGGAGGGAGGTAGGAAGTTAGAGGGATTTAGGCTAGCAGGATTTTCTCCCAGGCCTCACAGCATGTGGACACACAGATCAATTTCTTATCCTGTGTTCAGCTGGACACTGGGTTAGAGACTGTGTTGATCAAGATGTCCCCTCCTGTTTCATATCATATAACGCATTCATTTCAGCCACTGAGCCTAAATTACTGTTTGCTTTCTTTCTGCCTTTCTTTCCCCCCTCCCCGAAATGGTAAGAATGGTAAGGATGAAGTTAGTTTATCCGTGCTAATGCTTTGATTTTTTTTTTTTCTCTTTCTCTTTGCCACAGTAGGTAACCAGTTAGGGGCCTTGGTACATCAAAGGTAAGCAGTGGGTTATGTTTTATTATTTATTGATCATTTCTAATTGTTTATTGATCCACCATCTGTACTAGAGTGCTAGAAAGTCAGAGGTTGAGTGTGTGAAAAAGCATGGGTTAGGCTTCTTTAAGACTCGAGGTTTTTGCTAGCCATTTCCAAGATAGTGTCAGCTCAGGGATAAACTAATACAAGGCATTAAAAATCAGCCATTATTGCAGTAACTTAAAATACTTGTAGAAGATTGGAGTTGCTCTTTCTACCAGTGTACATTTAATTTAAAAGGAGAGAATGAGATTTTCCCACCTGGTTTTGTGGTGTTGCCAATATTTCATTAATCCTCAGCCTCTTCACCTGAGAAGGGACACCTCGAAGTGTGAGGGTCAGACACTCCCAAGAGAATGCCCAGGAAGTATGGGTGGGTGGCTAGTGTGTAGTGGGGAGGCCAGAAGCCAGGGTTCCATCCCTCCAAAGTGGTAGGGACTTGCCAGAGAGCCTCAGCCCAGCTGATTATCTGTTTCTGTGTCCCCTCATAGCCTTCTGTCAAACATTGAGGATTTAGAGAGACACAGAAAGAGCCCTGAGTTTTACAAAGGCCAGTCTGTAAGATGGGGTATGTGTGGTCATAGTGTATCGCCCTTCAAACAGGAAAACATATACAAGAAACTGCCACAGTTTCTCTTCCGGAAGGATGAATTTTGTGCTGTGTATCTGTTGCTGTAACATATCCTTAACCTTCTATCAGCAAAACAATTCTGTCATCTTGGATTCTGCCTAGCTGTTTGGGAGTTTCTAGAAATCACCAGGCATCAGTTAAACAAAAGTTTTATCCTGGGTTTTTTTGTTATTGTTTCTTTGTTTGCTTTGTTTTGTTTGTTGATGAATTGAAAAATTTAAATGAGGTGATCATTAGTATCAAATGCTGACTTTCCTATAAAGCCATAACTAGCCAGGATTTTCTTTTCCAAGGTGTTTATATTTTATACCTTGGACAAGTTTCAGCCTTGCATTGAGATTAGAACGTTTTCTTCCTGGAAACCCAGAGTATGTTTCTTGCTCAGAATCCGCTAAAGTTATTCCTTAGGGCCAGGAGCTGCCTGGGCTTTGTGACATTTTGTATTGCAGTAGTGTTGAAGCCCCTCTAGTCAATTCCCAGGTAGTAGTTTCTGAGAATAGACAGAGTAGACAGCTCATGCTACACATGGTATGAGCAGCAGCCTCCTGGCCACAGGCACAAGAGCCCTGTCTTCCGTCGCAACAGAGTCAGGAAGCACATCCTGACAGGGACCTGGCTTCTGCTGCAGGACATGTTGGGACGGCAAGACTTGGCATTCACATCCATGGTGTTAACTGATTAGCAAGCTGGGAATGAATTGCCTGATCTGGGGAGAACACATATATCCCAAGAGGTGGAGAGAATCCCGTCTTGTACATAAGCTTGAGGGTGTAAACTCCACAAAGAGAAGACTGTTGTTCCCATCAAAATGATACAGTGGCAAGTGCTATTTATGCTGTTGCATTTCTTCTAAGTAATGCACTCTCCCTAAAAATATGCACGTATTCCATCTTTTCTGTGATGGGTAAAAATCCAGCTGTGTGAGAGATGTTTAAAAATGCTTGCCCCTTTTTTTTGTTTTGTTTTTAACTACTTGCATTTAGCATCCTCCCAAGGTAAATGTTGAGATTTAATTGCTTTCTGGGGTGTTGGGCAAATTGGACATTGTCCACAATACACTGTATGGCAGATTTGAAGGTTTGTTTGAAAAAAGCCAATGCAATAGTAGTTTAAAAAAAAAAAAAGGCACATAATGGATGGGATAGCATTTAACAGAAGTACCTTGCAGAGTAAGTGAGGTAATTATTCTGTTCTGGCAACACTGATTACGCCTCCATCGGATACTGATTCCGCCTCCATCGGATACTGATTCCATTTGGGGCATCTCAACTTAAGAAACATCCATAAATTAGAAGGGAGGCCAGCAGACAATAAAAAGATTGGGAAACAAGGAATGTTGAAGAAAAGTTGGGTATCTCTTCATCTAGAGAGGACTCCACAGTGGAAGTCTGAACATCTCCCACAACACCGGAGGACCTTTCAGTGACCTGGGATTGATGGCCCGTTGGTTAGAGAGCACCTAACCAGGCAGAATGAGGCAACGCTGAGAGGTGCTGTTTGAAGAAAAGGCAGCTGTTAGAGGAGGTGGTGGTTTCGTGAAAATCCGAGGTTTCTTCCTCTGACACAGGGAGATGAAAGGCTTAGACCTTTAGGAGGAATGATTGACCAGAGGGTTCATTACGTGACACTCTTTGTAGATGGTGGCGGATTTGTTGGCCAGATTGGCCTGATGTATTTTAAGCTTTTATCTTGCAACATTGCCAGTGTGGGCAATTTGGGGACCTAAAATGGCTGCAAAATTCTGTATTCTGTATTTTTTCCAAAATGTTCTTTGTTTTTAGGACAGTAATAACGGAAGAATTCAAAGTGCCTGACAAAATGGTTGGATTTAGTAAGTATCCGTGTTGTCTACTTTTTCCCTGATTCCTGTCTCTTTTTCTCTCTGTTTTTTTCTGAGCTCCTTTGCCAGGAGGTCCTTTTTGTTTTGATCTCTCTTGTGGGTGTCACCTGTAGTAGAATGCTTTGCACATGCCGTTCCCCACAGCTCTGAAGTGCTGCAGAAACCAGAGCGCTGGGCTGTGGATGCCCCCGCCTTCCCCACGTCTCCTCACCTCAGCTTGAATCGCCTCTGCCTGTAGGCTGTTTCACACGGGCTTTCTGCTGCCATCGTGCCCAAAGAGTGGAGATGGGCTCACAGGGGCCAACTCGATGTGTAGTGTTGTGAGCCAAGTGTCACAGTTTGTGGAATTAATTCAGTAATTCATGCGTGGTGAAATATGGAATGGGGGCGTGTATTCTGACCCTGTTCAATTTGTTTCAGTTATCGGCAGGGGAGGTGAGCAGATTTCACGGATTCAAGCAGAATCTGGTTGCAAAATTCAGATTGCTTCAGGTAAGGGCTTTTTAAAAATAGATACCAATTTTATAGAAATCAGTATTTTACAAACATTTCCAGGTTCGGTACTTTGCTTGTTGCTTGGGTAAGTATATGCGATTGGTGTTTTCCTTGCACTTCGGGAGTTGGACTCCTAAATGAGAACCAGAAGGATCAGAGCAAAGGTGGGCCCGGAGATAAGGCCTCGTATCTGGCTTCTGGGGTAAACTCTCCCTCAGCTCTGTGGCCAGACATGGCCCCTTCCCAAACACCTGCCACTCTAGGACCTATGTTTTCTGCACCAGAATGTTATGCCAGACATAGTGGCATAGTGGGGCCTGTAGGAATCCTACGATTTTGGGGTCACTCCTTGACTGTGTGCATCAGGAGAGCCTCCCCTGGATGAGACTGTCCCTTCCCTTTGTGGGAAGAGGATAGCTGGGGGTCCTGGCTGGATTAGCACTCACTGAACGTGTTTTCCAACCTTTCCTAGCTGGGTTCATTTTGACCATGCAATATGGAGAGAGATGGAGTGAAGAACAGTTTTTTATTTTATTTATGGTTTTGTCATCTAATTTGAGCTTGACCTCTTTCCATTGCAAAGGAAGGGGTTTGAAGGACATTTGACTAGAAAAATGTTTGTCCTTTTAAAAGAGACGTATTACAGTGTCTTGAAGGCAGTAACTCCTGTTAGCTGTTTCTCTTTCATTTTTTTGAGGAAGGATTTTGAGAAGCAGATTTTTTAGGAACAAAATGAGGCATCGTGTGGTGTTAGAAAGTAACGTGTTTCTCTCGTTCAATGGCCTAGTTCCACATAGATGTCACTGATCTCTTGGGACACTCATGCCATAACTGGTATGTCCTGATATATGTGTCATGAAGTTCCTTCCTAGTGTGCTAGCTTGTGTGCCGTGTGCAGACACATCACCATTGAGCTGCAAATGGAGAAACTGAGGAATAGCACGATAAAGGGACTGAAACAATTACTAGCGTGTGAATGGCTCAGAAGTGAAGCTGAGACGGGTAATCAGGACCAACTCACAGATCCTGTCACGTCCTTCTAGCTTCCCCTGTGGGACTTGTTTCTGCTTCGAGAACCCAGGGTGAAGCTACCAGCTTCACATTCTGTCCACAAGCGGAAGCAAACTGTCTTTTTCTGGGAGCCTGGGCCTCTGCGGGGCTGGCGCAGGCAGCAGCCCTAGAGAGAGTCTGTACAGAGGCAGAGGTGCATGTGCCCGGTGCCCACCAACACCCCTCATCTTCTTGATTCTTCTTATAGAGAGTTCTGGGATTCCAGAGAGGCCCTGTGTACTTACCGGAACCCCAGAAAGTATTGAGTAAGTTTATTTTATTTACTTTTTCTTTCACTCTTCTTCCTCCTTCCCCAAATGGGGAGAAATGGAAGGGCAACACTGTTACTGAACACTGTGAATCTGTGCTGCAGTCTGGCCACACAGGCAGATAATTCCACAGGAAAAAATCTGGGAGGTTACTGTGCCAGGGGATTTTGTTACCTTAAGTACACGAGATACCGCCTTCGTTCTAAACCCCACAGCTGTCATAACTTCTCCTTCAAACCAGGGTCTCAGGAGTGTACATTCACCCCACCTGAATGCTCTAATCAACTTACTTCTTCCTTGTTAACACTTCCTTTACCTGAGCAGGTCTGGATTAGTAAGCCAGTCAGTTGGTGAGCTACTGAGAATCCTGGTACCAGGTCTTTTGGCTGGAGGCTGATCCCGTTACCCTTCTGATATTTGTGAACCAAATGAGTCAACTCTTCGTGACCTTTGCTCTACTCAGAGGGCCGTACGGACTGGCCAGAGGATGTCTTGACTTTTGGCGCCCTTGCAACAGCCTTAAGACTAACATTGCTTTCCTACCCTATTACTCACAAACTCAGAACCTTATACCAGGTGCAGGTGTCATAAATCCAAGAATCTCCCAGGAAAGGGAAACATACTGACTTATAGCCTGCTTGCTGTCCTTCAATCTACAGAGCAGCACTGCATTTGGGGCCAGGAGTGCTAAGATTATATCTGGCTCAATAGGTAGGGTTGTTTTATTGTTTCCATTTCTCAGGGAGTCTAGATGAGCTTAAATTCTCTTGTTCTGCCATCACATTGCAAGCAGTGAACCAGAATAAATATCGCTGGCAGGTGTGCATTACAGGGCAAGCTGGATGGTTTGCTGGAGTCAAAGCATTTTTCTTCCAACACAGGTTAATCTAGTACACAAACAAAATATTAAAAAGCTGCTGTAACTGGGAAGATACACGAAGCTGATTCTGTACGCAAAGGCTCAAGACGACAAAAGGCCACATCTATTTCCTGCCTTTCTCTTCTTTCTTACTACTCTTCTAACCATTCCTGCTTCCTGTCTACCCAAGGACCAGAGGCAGTGGGATTATAACTTTAGGAGGAGACAAATTTCATTTTCTTCAGTGAGCAGCACAGCCAGCCTGTTCAGTAGCTGAATTCTTCTCCATTAGAGAAGCCAAAAAGCAGATCATGTGTGGCAATTTAGAGAATAAATACGAGAAATAACAGCCAGGAGAAATTCTGGTGCAGAAAAGGAAATTGGCCCAGCAGATGACTTTGGTGGTCTGGGCTGTGCTGTCGCCATGTTACAGTTGCCCTCCCCCGCTGCCCAAGAAATCAACACAATGGCAGGACATGTGACATGCAGGGTCCCAACTTGGCTGCCATGGAAAGCCCAAAGCAGGTGTCTGTGAGTGCACAGCTGCATCCAGCACCGCCTCCCCCTTTCCCACCTCTTGGAACCAAACTGGGATTCATAGCCTTAGCTTAGAAGTCATAGAGCAGTGTTGTTGGTTATGAAGAAGCAGCGTGGAGTATGGGAGTTCAGACAGTGAGTACTAATCCTTGCTTGCTTTCTTCCCATCTTTCTCATTGCTGGCTGTCTCTCCTGCCTGCGTTATTTAACAAATGTGTACTGAGTATACTCTGTGAGAAGGGTCGTGTTGGATGGGGGAACAGAGAGATGTAAAGGGATAAAAGATGGTCTCTGCCCCCAGAGCAGCTGGCATCCTAGTAGGAGACAACACCTTTGTGGAGACATAAGCATGAGCAGAGGGCAGGCTTGAAAGGGGCGGCAAGGCTCTGTGTCGCAGCGTTGGTACTATGGTGTGTGTTGCTTTTAAATTCCAGCCCAGTAGCGTGGCGGATGGCAGAGAGACCTCCGGGTTGGGGCAGGAGCTGGAGCTGGATGGAGGGCTGCCCTGACTCCTCAGTGCTATTTCCCTGTCTTGCACACCCAGAGCCTCCATTTAATGCTGGCTCTCTTGTGGTTCTTTTCCCTCCCAAAGACAAGCCAAACGGCTCCTGGGACAGATTGTGGACCGCTGTCGAAATGGACCTGGCTTTCATAATGACATAGACAGCAACAGCACAATCCAGGAGATTCTCATTCCCGCATCTAAAGTGGGTCTGGTCATCGGCAGAGGAGGGGAAACAATCAAGCAGTTGCAGGTATGTAAGCCCGGAGCGCGGAGCACAGCGGCCGCTCTCAGCAGGTCTTCGGCTTCCTGGCCCAGAGATCTGCTCACGGCCGGCATTCCCTGACTGGGCTGGCTTTGCACAGCGTGATGCTGAGGCTTCCTTCCTCCATTTGACAGACAGCTTCTGAACGTACACCACGGCCACGCCTGATGCCAAGTGTGACGCCAAGTACTGGGGCAGGCGTGCCCTATCAGGGCCCCTGTGAACTTTGAGCAGCCTTTTTGGCAGTGAGCTCTGTGAGGGCTGCTTTTATCATCAGAGGACAGCATCTCAGATAAAAGTGCAGTATTTGGAGTCAGAGGCTCAGACCCAGCATTCTTCCTCCCTCATTGATTGATCTTAAATGTGCTCATTTACTTTTTGAAGGTTCAGGGTCTTTGTGTGTCAGAAGGGGCAAGTGCCGGCCTCACTGTTGTGATGGAGCTGAAATAAAAGCCGTTCTTCTTATGTAAGAGCCTGTTACTGAGTGAATGTTCCGTGAGCATTAGCTCCTGTTAGTGCCAGAATCGCTCGTCTGAGAGACTCGGCACCAGACACGTTTCAGAATTTGACACTCCCAGCAAGTTCTGGGGTAGTATCCTGAAATCAAATGCGTATTTCTGTAGCTAAATAGAGTGATACACTCAGAGAAAAGAAAAAAATACATTGACATGAGTTCAGTTTTGCTGCCAGATGAATTATAAATAAACTTTTCTTTCAGAAAAGGGATTTTGCAGTTGCAAGTAAAGGATTGTGGCTTCCCTTGCGTGCCATCTCATAACCCGGTCCTTGGGTCCCGGTTGTAAGGATGGTATCCTAATGTAGATTCTGAGAGTTTATCATTTGGGATCCCAGCCTCCAAGTTTTGGTCCCCCACTCATTAGCTCTGGACCTAGAGCCGTTACACGCTGAAGTAGAAAGATGGCAGGACTTGACTCTCAGTTCCACGGAAGTTCTAATCACATAATGTCAGATGGAGTGTGTGTCAAGTGCCTGGCGTTCAGTAAAAGTAGCTCCTTAGTGCTTAGATACTCCAGGGACTGGAATCATTTTAGCAGATGGTTTTACATCTCGCATTTGGACGTGGTCTTACCCAACCTATATGTCTGCTGTCACAGAAGCCAGCTTCATGGCCCAGGTTGGAAGGCAGTCCCTGGTGGTAGGTGGGAGGTGGGCTTATTGTGGGTGTGACTGGATCCAATTCATGACAGTGAGGGCTGTGCCGGTGTGTGTTCCCCACAGGAGCGGACAGGAGTGAAGATGGTCATGATCCAGGATGGCCCATTGCCCACGGGAGCAGACAAGCCTCTTCGTATCACTGGAGACGCATTTAAAGTACAGGTAGGAAAGAGCCATGGGTTGGGTGAGTCCTGGCTGTGGGACTGTCACTTGGTGGTACCCTAGAGCTTTTATCTTCCTCAAGTAATTGTGAAACTGGCTGCTCCGTTATTGAAGGTAAACTGTTCTCCTCAACAAAGTTTGGTGATGAAAAGAATCTAGGTTTGTGCTGCCCAAAACCAGAGGCCTTAGCTACTTGTGGCTATTTAAATTCACTCACATTCAATAAAAACTGAGCTCCTCATGTACACTGGCCACACCTTAAATGCCCAGTAACACCTGAGGCTGGTGGTGACTGTTCTGGACCGTGTGTGTGCAGAACAGTTCCGCGCTTCTGCTGGTGGCGCGGCTCAGGACGGTTGTTTTGTTTTGTTTTGTTTCCCCCATGTCATCCTTCCAGGTGCAGTTTTGATTTGCTGACCTGTGGTCAGCTTAGATGCAGGCTGTGCTTGGCTTTTACTTGCTCATTCTCTTCTGGGCTTATTTTGCAAGCCCTTCAGCTGAGGTTGGAGGTGAGCACAGGTACCAGAGCCATCCAGGTACCTGGGCACCCTCATAGCAAGTGTCCTGGGCCCCGAGCTGCCAGGGGAGACAGCCCCACTGGCTGAAAGCAGTAAGGGGCTTAGTTTTCAATCCCCTGGGGTGGTCCTATCCTTCCAACTCTTGCTGGTAGCAGGAATTCAAGTGGGCAGAGGGTGTAAGGTTTTTGTCTGTCCTCAGTGAAACACAGATGTACTTTTTTCTGCCACCTGCAGCCTGTCTTACCATTGCCACATTCAGAGTAGCTCCAGGGTGATGCTCCTCGATGAGCCAGGCCACCATCAAGAATGGGTCTTCTCCGGGAGCATTGGGGTTTTGATCAGTGAAAGTTTCCAGTCCCTGGCAAAATATTTCTCCCAATTCTGAACCCTATCCTTCAGCTAAGCTGGTCAAGGTACACCTGTAAAATAACAGTTTTAGAACAGGAGTGAGGGCAGTGATGGGCATGCTTCTGCCTGGGGACTCCAGTCGGTGATGCGGTCCTTCACTTCCATCAGGCCAGAGTCCTCATGTGCTGTCTCCTCCAGAGCTCCCGGCCTTCTCTCAGTGTGAACAGTTGGGCATTTAAGGAACCAGATTGCCTCTTGCCTTTCCCCACCCAGCTCAGCATCCAGCGTGGGCTCCAGTACTGTGGTGGTGTCGGATCCAGGCCTGTGGCAGGCTGCGGGGGGGCCACAGAGTGCCTGCTTCTTGACTGCCTCCCTCAGAGGCCACCTTTCTCTGTCACAGCCTTTGATGGTGTCTTTTTTAGGGAAAAACCTCAAGCAAAGAATATATCATTAATGTCCCATAAATTTGCAGGAAATAATTTTAACTTAATGGGTTTTAGTATTTTTTAAATTTTAAAACTATATTTCACTTTTTTTTTTTCATTTAGGAGATGGAGTCTGCTGTATTTAGGGCACCTATATACCTCTTCAGCCTGCCTAACGTTTTGCTGTATGTGTGTGCATATGTGTGTGTTTCTTTATCATTCAAGTGGCAGATGTTATGACTCTACCCCTAAATCCTTAAGCATGTATCTCCTAAGAATAACCAGGGCTAAGAAAACTGTACTTGTAAAACATCGTCTGGTATCCAGTACATATCCAGATTTCTCCAACTGTCCTAAGATTTAAATTGCTGACGGGTTTGTTTTGTTTCTTCCTAGACACAGTTCTCACATTCCCTTGAGTTGTAAGGTACAGTAGATCTTGAGCACAGATTCCTGTGTGGCTGGTACTGGCACGGGCTGGCCGACTTGCAGCGACAGACTTGCCAAGTGTGTGTTTTGGGGAGAAGGACACTTGAGTCTGCCTGGGATATAGTGACGTCCACAAGGAAGTCTCATCAGGAGATTATAGAAATAAGATAGGCTTGCCCTTTTGTTGTTGTTGTTTGTTTGTTTGTTTAAAGCAATGTATTTGGCTTTCAGCCTTTTCTTTTTAACTTACTGGAGTGCCTCTGTGATGTAAAGCCTTGGCAGAGTTCTCTGTCTCGTGGACCTGCCCTCAGTGGGCGTCTTAGACACCCCTTCCTGCTAGAAAGAAATGGCACCAAGAAACACCTAGGTCAATCCACTGTATTGATCAGAAAGAAAAAGATTTAAAAATTTAAAAACACCTAGGGGTGATAGGAATCCATTTCTGACCACACGCAGATGTGCTCACCCAACTGAGGCTTTTTATAGAAGGTGGACCCTTACCTGTGTGGACATTTGGACACATCACTTCAAATTTGATACGTGCATCCCTACATGTCCCGTAAGCAGTAAGCGAATTGTCCTAAAGCTGAGCGCCTTTAAACCCCAAGTTAAGAGGGTTTGATCTTGAAATTTCACCTGGTGGTGTATCTTTTTTCAGGAGTTTTTCTCATAATGCTTTTTGTTTGTGTTTACGCAGCAAGCAAGAGAAATGGTACTAGAGATTATCCGAGAAAAAGACCAAGCTGACTTTCGGGGTGTACGTGGTGACTTCAGCTCCCGAGTGGGAGGAGGCAGTATAGAGGTATGCTTAAATTACAGGTTAGTAGGCAAATGAGATGAGGATTAAAGTTGTAGGTCACACTTCTGTCAGCTCTTTAACCTTGAGCAAGTTAAGTTTTGTCTCAAAACCTTAAGAATTACCTCGCTTGTTAGGGTGGGTGTGAGGGTGGACTGGAACGGAATCGGCCTGCAGTGAGGGGAGCTGGCTGCATTTCAGGGCATGGGGCCGTTTCCCTTGGTTTTGAAGCTTTGCTTTAGAGGTTAACCAGTTGCCCAGGTAAAAACCAAAGTTCAGGATTTCTTGGTGATGTATATTATGATTCTATCAAACTCAGCAGCCTGTATTTATTGATGAGGTTGCAGGGGGGTCAGAGTCTGTCCTAGAAAATGAAATTTTGTTGTGTGCGACAACATGGATGAACCTTACAAACAGTATGCTCATTGCAATAAGACGGATACAGAACAAATATTGTACGATTCCACTTACCTGAGGCACCTAGAAGAGGCAGATGCATAGAGGCAGAAAGTACAGTAGAAGCTATCAGATGTGGGGGGATGGAGGAGTCATTGTTTAATGGATACAGAGTTGCTGGGGATGATGAAATGGATATGGATAGTGGTGATGGTTACACAACATTGTGAATGTTTGTAATGTCATTGAATTGTGTACTTACAAGTGGTTAAGTGATAAATATTATGTATATTTTAGCCACAATAAAAGAAAAATGAAGGAAAAAAATACACTTTAAAGAACCACTAGGGCTACGCATGGTGGTTCATGCCTGTAATCCCAGTGCTTTGAGAGGCTTAGGCAGGAGTACTACTTGAGGCCGGGAGGTTGAGATCTGTCTGGGCAATATAGCCAGACATCATCTCTACCAAAACAAAAAAAAATTATTTAAATTAGCCCGGTGTGGCACATGCCTATAGTCCCAGTTGTTCTAGAGGCTAAGGAGGGAGGCTCACTCCTCCCAGGAGATCGAGGCTGTAGTGAGCTACAGTTACGCCACTGTAATCCAGTCTGGGTAACAAGTCCAGCCTGGGTAACTGTGTGTATGGTGTGTTTATTGGAAGGCAAAAGTACTATTTTTCATCTTTTATCTATAAGGTTTATTCATTTTTATAACTATTTTGATCAAATCTCAAATTGGATGCATTTAACAGTTAAGAATGCAGTTCAACCACAATGTTATTCCTAAAAGGGAAAAATGTCCTTTATTATATCATTTCTAGGAATGCACTATAATAAAAACTAAGTTGTGTGTTAAAATATGTCCTGGGCCGGGTGTGGTGGCTCGCGCCTATAATTCTAGCACTTTGGGAGGCTGAGACAGGCAGATCACTTGAGGTCAGGAATTCAAGATCAGCCTGGCCAACATGGTGAAACCCCATCTCTACTAAAAAATACAAAAATAAGCCAGGCATGGTGGCAGGTGCCTGTAATTCCAGCTACTCAGGAGTCTGAGGCAGGGATAATTGCTTGAACCTGGGGTAGGTGGAGATTGCAGTGAGCCAAGATCGTGCCACTACAGCCTGGGCAACAGAGCGAGACTGCATCTCAAAAATAAAGTGTCCTGGCCAGGCACGGTGGCTCACGCCTGTAATCCCAGCCCTTTGGGAGGCCGAGGTGGGCGGATCACCTGAGGTCAGGAGTTCAAGACCAGCCTGGCCAACAAGGTGAAACCCCATCTCTACTAAAAATACAAAAATTAACTGAGCATAGTTGCCTGTGCCTTTTTTCTCAGCTACTCGGGAGGCTGAGGTGGGAGAATCATTGGGACCCGGGAGGCGGAGGCTACTATGAGCTGAGATTGTGCCACTGCACTCCAGGCTGGGCAACAGAGCGAGACTCAGTTTAAAAAAAAAAAAAAAAAAGGGAAAAAAAGTGCCCTTTAAAAAGACAGGTTTGTGAAAAGTTCTGATGAGGTTTGGTTTCTCTGTGCCTAGGTATCTGTGCCTAGGTTTGCTGTGGGCATTGTAATAGGAAGAAACGGGGAAATGATCAAAAAGATCCAGAATGATGCTGGTGTGAGGATTCAGTTTAAACCAGGTGGGTTTGATGATTCAGAAATCCTTAGTGTTGAAAGGATGATAAAACACCTTACAAAACAAGGGCTTGGCTGTTGGTTCATGTGTGTTCACCTTTCTCGTCCTTGCAGCATTTCTGCTACCAGATTACCAATCTCAGTTTCTTTTCCCAACCTTCTTTTCCCTCCCTGGATCCCTGTCAGTCACCTTTGATTTCCAGGCCTTTCTTTTTTTTTTTTTTCCCTCCTTGGACTATATGCATAGTATGTCAGCTTTTGATTTTGCCAAGTAAAATTTAAATATATATATATATAATTTTGATTTTATTTGAGATAATTTAAAACTACAAAGACAAAACATCTCAGAATAAAGGACAAATTTTTAAATTTTATAAATTTGCCTTAATGAGCAAACTGTTCCATGTGGTCTGAAAAGAGGAAAACGTGGCAGGCTGTTCTCTGGAAGCTGTTGCCATAGCTCTGCTCTGACTCCCTTGGCTTTTTTAAAGTCAAGTTTTGTTTCAGTTCTTTAATGATATATTTTTTAAATGGCTGTAATTGCATAAGAATTGAGCATGGACCTGAAATATGCGAAACAATATAATTACACACATTTTCCTATCAACCACATCACTCCCAAAGAGTCCCTGGAGCTGGCAGTATTCCTGTTGCCCCTTTTGGCACCGCGGGTAAGAATATTGATTGGGAATCAGATTAATCTTTGTTTCCTTCTAACGTTGGGCTTTTTTCTAATCCCCGTCTCTCACCTGGCTCCTCAGATGATGGGATTAGTCCAGAAAGAGCTGCCCAGGTCATGGGCCCTCCGGATCGGTGTCAGCACGCAGCGCACATCATCAGCGAGCTGATTCTCACAGCCCAGGTGGGTCCAGCTCTGTGGAGTGTGAGCGTTCGAGCTGCAGAAGTGGAAAGTGCTACCCAGGGCTCTCGGTGCAGCGCGTAGAGCAGTCACCCGAGGCATCTCACATCACATTATGGGAAGCCAGCAGTTTCTCTACATCCGCATCTTTCCTGTCTTCTTGGTGTTTTTTTTCTGCTCATTAATTATCATTCTGCCTTTATTGACCTCACCATCTAGATTGCCTTTACACAGTAAGTTTCTGGCTATTTAAACCAAGTGGGGAAATACCGTGGAGACTGGCCGCCAAGTTTCAAATAATCAAGTGTATTTCATGTTAAACTATGTTAGTGAAATCCAGTGTTAGTGGTAGAAAGCACTTCAGGATCTTCCAAAGTCCTAAAGCTGCCTTCATGCACTTGATTTCATTTACGTCTTCGGACTGTGAGCCAGCCTGTGTGACAGTGCTAGGAACCCCTGTAACTGATGGTAGGACTGAGGACACATTTGAGAAAGACCAGAACGGAAGAATAAAGCAAGAGACTGGAAATTATACTCCCAGCTCTGGCATCAGTCATGTGACCTTGGAGCAGCCTTTGAACCTCTGGTCTGGTGTTCCCAACAGCAGACTCGGGGTGCTTTGTGCCAGGCAGTGCTCTCCATGTGATCCCCTAAGAGCCATCTGGTGGTTCTTACTCAAATTACAAATGTGTAGGCCCCCACCCCAGATCTACTGAATCAGAATTTCCAGGGGAGGGTCTTGGGTCTTCACTAGAGACCCAGGCAATTCTTAGGATTAGACAAGTTTATAAAACAGCCGCTAAATCAAGCTTGTTCAGCCTGTGGGCTGCACGCAGCCCAGGAACAGCATTGAATGCAGCCCAACACAAATTCATAAACTTTCTTAAAATGTTAAGAGATTGTTTGTGTGATTTTTTTTTTTTTTTTTTTTTTAAAGCTCATCAGCTATGATTAGTGTTAGTGTATTTTATGGGTGGCCCAGGACAAGCCTTCTTCCAGTGTGGCCCAGGGAAGCAAAAGATTGCACACCTCTGCTCTAAATGATCTCTGGCATCCTTTTTTGTAGCAAGAGTTCATGAACCTTGGCCAGGCGCCGTGGCTCACTCTTGTAATCCCAGCACTTTCAGAGGCCGAGGCAAGTGGATCACCTGAGGTCAGGAGTTCGAGACCAGCCTGACCAACATGGTGAAACCCCTGTCTCTACTGAAAATACAAAATTAGCTGGACGTGGTGGCTCACGCCTGTAATCCTAGCACTTCAGGAGACTGAGGCAGGTGGATCACCTGAGGTCAGGAGTTCAAGACCAACATGGTGAAACCCGTCCCTACTAAAAATACAAAATTAGCCAGGTGTGGTGGCGCATGCCTATAGTTTCAGCTATTCAGGAGGCTGAGGCAGGAGAATCGCTTGAACCCAGGAGGCGGAGGTTGCAGGGAGCCGGGATCCCGCTTTGCACTCCAGCCTGGGTGACAAGAGCAAAAATCTCTCAAAAAAGAAAAAAAAAAAAAGTTTATGAACCTTGTGCTGCCGAGGCTGTGAGATGTTTGGGAGAAAACCTTTTCCTTGAGATCTGTGCCATGCCCAGAAAGTTGACTGTGCGCTCGTGTGCATGTGTGAACATAAATTCCTAAAATTGCCTTGTTTACTCGGCAGTTGTCTCTCATAAAAGCAGAGTGCGGGGGAAGAGCACTCCAGTTGTCTCCGCTTTCTGCTGGTTTAGATTCTGGGTAAACGTTCAGTTTACTCTTAATCAACACGAGCAGGTTTTGCCCAACATTTCTTCAGTGTGTTGAAAAGTCTGCAGCGTCTCCCTTCCATGAAATAGCTCTTAGGTTGACCAGGTTCACCCTCCACATTTAAGAGAGTTTAAATACCGCAGCTGCAGCTGAGTTTAAATGACTCAGCGGACAGCGGCTGGAATGAGACTTGCCGCCGTCTGAGTGAAAGGGTTCTTCCTCTGTCAGCTGGTAGATTAGGTTGTTCTCTCTGCTGGGCGAACAGTGGGAGAATGAGTCAGAGACTTCTCCAGCCCCGCATGGGGAGGAGGCCCTGGCCGGTTCCCTCTGTTCCTCCCTTCTAAAGTAGCCCCAGATTGGTCACCCTCGAACCTGTTGCTGCTGCTGCTTGGGGGCACAACCACCAAGAAGTTTTCTAAAACTGAATAAAATCCATTTACCCTTCTTGCTGATTAGAGTGCCAGGTGTTGTGGCTGAGCAGTGCCCGGTCGGGGCGGGTCAGCAGGCTCTGCGCACCTGGCTTCCCACAGGCCCAGTATGTGTCTGCCATGGAAAAGAGGGGCCTCAGCTGCAGGGGAGAAACCGGCTCTTGATGCCTGTAGATCGGGGCCCAGTGAGGAAAGCTCCAGGGAGAAAGGCCACTGGGCTTCAGCCTTGGAGTTTGTATCTGCCTGTTTCTGTTGGGTACATTGGAGCTGTTTATGTAACCGTGCGTGTTCGTCTGCACAGGCCCTCCCCGGATACACCCGTGATTGGTGTCAATACTGGCTTGAAAGAGCCCTTCAGAACGGGAAGTGTGGAAAGGTGCTAGGTTCTCACGGGTGGCATTGATTGCATCCTGTCACTTAACCTCCACCCTGGAGAAGAGCAGTGGTGCTGTGGCCGTGGCAGAGGTCACGAGAGCTCTGTGATCTTTCCAGGAAAGAGACGGCTTTGGAGGCCTGGCAGCAGCCAGAGGAAGAGGTCGTGGCCGTGGCGACTGGAGCGTGGGAGCCCCTGGTGGCGTCCAGGAGATAACATACACGGTGCCAGCCGATAAGTGTGGCCTTGTCATAGGCAAAGGTAAGAGGCAGCTGGGGTTTCACATCCCCGTTCAGCTGTTTGGCTTGAGGGAAGGCAGGTCAGCGGGCCTCCAGAAGCTTGGGTGAAGTCCCTTCGCTGCTGCAGGCTGGGGCTGCTGAAACCCTGCTTGGCATGGTTCTCTGAGGCTGCTGACGGGCCTGCTTTGAGGGGCAAAGTGAATTTTTTCCTGTGAATATGAAGAAGACAGCAGTAAAACCCCTTGCCTGTTGAGGGCAGCTTAACTTGGTGAAAAGATACCCTGTGCAAGGTGGGGGGCCTTTGTCAGTCGACCGATGGGTAATTAACTCACCTCAAAGGAGCTTAGAGGGACAAGGAACTTAGAGGGATGGTTGAGACAATATCCTCAGTGAAAATCCCTTCTCGACTGTATCACTTCTTTCCCTTACCAGGTTTGAGTATTTGGTCTTGATCCGCACAACAGGTGAAAATGGTTTTTATCCTTTCTGCATACTTACTGTGAGTCCCGGACTCTCTGTGGAGGGAAATAAACATTGATTTGTTCGTTTTTTCTGGGCATTTTGGAGAACATTAGGAAGAAACCCTCATTCATGGCTACTGTAGCTCCTTCCTGTCCTTCACTGAGAACCGGGAGAGAGCAGCCATATTTCTCAGCCATTGGCAGCAGTTCATCTTGGCTGGCCCTGGGACCCAGAAAGGCTATAGAGACCAGGGCTGAGGCTGTGGGGCCTTTCCCAGTGTGGCAGTGGGCTCGGCTTCCGGGGGGCTCTGAGCCAGGCCTCACGGCCAGCGGGGCCTCCGTCATCTCTGGGTTTTGTAGTTGCCTTCATTAGGTATTTGACAGCAGGTGGAGAGGACAGTCGCCTCTCCAGAGTTTCTCACATTTCTGTGATCACCAAATACCTCTTAGCTGCCTGAGGGGCACTCGTATTGGATAGGCAGGACTTGGGGATGCCTCACCAGCAGAGACCTCCAGAGCTGGGCAGGTGGGAGCCCCCCACACTCACGTCCCAGGAGCTGCCCTTGTCCCAGCTCACGGACACTGTGGGCTTTATGCTCTTGCAAAATGCAAGAAACTGTGTTGTCTTTTAGATGCTGAACCACTCAGAGGTGGTAGAAACAATATGGGTTTGTGTTCATCTGCCGACAGGTGTGCGGGCTGGTGAGTGTTTGGGATATCGCGGGCTGCACCAGATGCTGCCAGAAGTCTCACACTGCGCAGACCGCCAGCCTGACCGCTGTGAGACTGCAGCTAGTTGATGCCTGTAGGTTGAGGATTAGCTAGATCTAGATTTCTTGGCCTTTTGCAAACCATTTTGTCAGCGAAGTTTTCATTTGCTTGTGTCTCTAAACCCTGAGTGAGCATTGTTGCCTCACCATGACAGGTTCTCACGGTGAACCCTTGGTGCTCACAGAGCAGCCCCTTGTAGTTGGTCCTTCACAGAGTCATCCTGAGTGATTCCTAGAGAACAGTGATGAGAACGAAGCAGTAACTGGTCTGTGTCCCATGCTTGAGTAGCAGCCTAAAGAGGCCTAATAAGTGTCTCGGATATGGGAGGATCTTTCTGTGTCTCACACACACACACACCGCCCCCCTCCTCGGGGCCCGTGTGAGGCCTCTCTTTTCCTTGAGATGGGCGCGCCTGGGTAAGGGAGAGAGGAGCTGCATGCAGTCAGGCCCAGCTTTCCTTGGCCTCTGGCCTGGACAGACACAGAGCCTCCCTGGCCCCTGCTGGATTTCCATGATAAACACAGCAACATTGACAGATAGCGCAGCCAGCCTGCTCTTGTCAGCCAGGCCTTTTAGCAGGTTTGATTAATTGCTTTACGATTTCACGTCCAGCCAGGGGGCCACTGGTGGGGCGCTTCTGCCCCCCATCAGGTAGAAGAATGGAGCGGGCTGCTGAATGAGTCTATAGACAGCCACCATGTGCCGAGCTAGTGACCTCATTTTGAAAGAAGATGAACTTAAATTAACTCCTTCCGGCCCCACAAGGTTTTGTGGTGCCTCCTCACCTTATTAGCATGTTCCCAAGGCCTGGGGACGAGGGTCCCAGGGCCCAGTGGGGAGGGCTGGGGCCTCGGCTGTCTGGGGACCGCAGGATTCTCAGTCGCAGACACTCATGTCTTTGTGCTTTTGCCTCCAGACCAAGTGGATCTGGGTGGAGGCTGGTAGGGTTCCCTCGAGTCTTAGGTGTGCCTGGGGAAATGGTCTCCATTTTAGTTTCTATTCTTTTTTATTTTATTATTATTATTTTTTTTTGAGATGGAGTTTCACTCTTACTGCCTAAGCTGGAGTGCAGTGTCGTGATCTCAGCTCAGCGCAACCTCTGCCTCCTGGCTTAAAGTGATTCTACTGCCTTAGCCTCCCAAGTAGCTTGGATTACAGGCATGTGCCATCACACCCAGCTAATTTTGCATTTTTAGTAGAGACGGGGCTTCTCCCTGTTGGTCAGGCTGGTCTCGAACTCGCAACCTCAGGTGATCCGCCCGCCTTGGCTTCCCAAAGTGCTGGGATTACAGGCGTGAGCCACTGCGCCTGGCCAAGTCTCTATTCTTTATTGCTCTCCAAAAACCATTGCCTTGGATCCCGCTTTTCATGGCGCAGAGAAGATAAAATCCGTGGCCTCTGAGTAAAGGGCAGAGGTAAAGGTCGCCTAGGAGGGGCTTGCACCGGCCCAGAGGAAATCAGAGCTGTGGGCGTTGGCCTGGTGTGTCCCCAGACAGGCGGGTCCTGGCCAGGATAGAAAATGCAGGGATGCTTTTCTGAATCTCCAGCAGGACTTTAAGGAAATCACAAGCACAACATTTGATTTTATTGGTTTTTTAAATTTAAAACCACCCTAAACTTAACCTCTTCTGCATGTGACCTTATCTGCATGCCATGTCTCCCAGCGTCTTTTCTCCCCTGTAAGGGTTGCCCCCGCTGCCTTCAGTAAGGACCACCTGAAGTCTCCTTCTTCATTCCTTGACCCCTATAGAGTCCTGACAAGATGCAGCTTGTGTCTGCCTTTAGCGTCCCCTCCCGACTGGCCTGATAGGCTGTTGAGACAGGGCTTTTCTGGCAGTGGGTGGAGGGAAGCTGGGAGTGTTTGGTGGATTGTGGGGATGGTGTCTTGGTGAGGTGGCACATGGCATTTAGGGCCTGTTTTGACTGTGGGCAGAGGAGGGGCCGACACTGGCCCCTGGCCTTTGCTTTTGATCACCGGGCTCACTGCTGCCCTATACCAGCTTTGGAGCAGGTTACCTTTTTCTCCACTTTTCCAAACTCTGTGCTCCAAGTTACCCTTGTATTCTGGCTCCTCTTAGCAACCCTCCATCCCCCACGGAGTTGAGCAGAGCAGATCTGCAAGTTCTGTGAATTTCAGAAGAATCCAACTATTGTTACACTGCTGGAGCTTTTATTATGCAAATTTCATTAAGAGACTGAGACTCTCACAGGTTTTTGAAAGAGACCAACTAAATTTTCATTAGCCCTGCTCCACCCAGGTCTCTGTGGCCTCCACCCCATCCTTGCACTGCCTGGCTAGACCTGCCCACCCCATGGAGGAGGCAGGGACTTGAGAAGTGACAGGGTGGGATACTGAAGGCCCGAGCGGCCTCCAGGCATGTTTGGGCCTGTGGTCTGTTTGGCCTATGGAGACAGTTGCCCACAGCCAGGCTGAAGGCCCCATTGTCACAGAGGGGCCCTTGGCTCACCATTGTTGTGCTAAGAAGGGCAGTGCCATCCCTGGCTGGGCAGGAGCCCCACAGCTGGCCCCCAGGGGTGAGCTCCATGGTGTAGACCCACGGGCCTCAGCCAGACCTGGTCACTGGGCCACTCAGGGCCTCCACATGGAGGTTTCACATGGCATCTGTGTCCTCAGCTTGGCTTTGAGAGGAAGTCCAGCTTCACTCCAAACAGCTAGTTTTGCAGGTGAGAGAGCCCTGGGTTTAGTTACAACCACTTTGGAGTAAAGAGAGAGTACTTCTCTATTGTCGGGACAAGTGCCGACATGCACAAAATCCCCCCGAGTCCTCTTCTGGAGCCAAGTGCCCAGAGCCTTGGGTTGCCACAGTAGCGGCTTACTCTTCGGTTTGTGTTCGTTCTGCTGTCCACAGGGGGTGAGAACATCAAAAGCATCAACCAGCAGTCAGGGGCGCACGTGGAGCTTCAGAGGAACCCCCCTCCCAACAGCGACCCCAACCTGCGGAGATTCACCATCAGGGGGGTTCCCCAGCAGATCGAGGTGGCCAGGCAGCTCATAGATGAGAAAGTTGGCGTACGTACAAGGTCCTTCCCCCACCTGGCTTACTCATAGCTGTTTGCTTTTGGATGTCCAAGGTACCAGCTTTTCCCGCAACCTTGCGCTGCTTGTGCCTGTGGGTTCTCACATCACTTGAGGGCAAGCCCCCTCCTGCTTTGCCGAAGGGGAGGGTCGGAGACCCAGGGAGTGCCAGAGCCAGGCCCAGAAGCAATGAAGGAAGCCTGGCAGGACTCACCAAGGCCGCAGCAGCCGAGGCCCCAGAGCCGTTCCCCTGCAGGCTTAGATGAGCAGCTGGGGCAGCAGCCTCCCCCCAGCGCTGCCCCGGGACTCCGCTGGCATTGCCCTGGCGGCCAGCCCAGCAGGCAGCTTTCATTGACTCTGGCTTTAGTTTCAGGCACCTCAAGGCAGATAAAGAAAGGGAGTGTTGATGGAGGACAGATGGGCCACTGCTCACCTCAATGGGGACGTAGAATGGCAGAAAGAGCCTTGGGCCAGCCTAAGTTGACGGGAGAGTCAAGCAGGTTGGTCCCTACCCCCAGGGTGATATACCAGGGCAGTTGTGGTGGTGCCAGGACTGGCTGTGTGGTGGTATTGGTCGCTGGAGGGCAGAAGCCATTTCTGCAGTGCAGCCTGCTGTGGGAAGGAAGGCTAGTGTGAGTGCGTAGGTGTCCTGACTTCACTCGACTCCAACCCCCCAATAGCTGGGCTTTGCCTCGGGGCGGGCCTGGGCAGAGGACAGAGGTGTGCAGCCAACAGCGGGTGAGAGCTCCCTCTGTGCCCCCACAGGGGACCAATCTCGGAGCACCTGGAGCCTTCGGACAGAGTCCCTTCAGCCAGCCACCTGCCCCACCTCATCAAAAGTGAGTCTTTTGCATCCGTCTTGCCCGGGAAAATTCCCTCGCTCCCAAGAGATCCCCTGTCCTTTCCAGCTGCTTCTAGGGAGCGCCAGCCAAGGCCTGAAGTTCTGGGCGTGGGCAGGACTCGTTTCTTTTCGTCTCACCAGTGGTTCCTCCAGCCTGTCACTCACTGACCTCCGCAGTGGGATGGGAGTCTCCCATAGGGCAGAGGGTCTTCCGTCCTGACCGCCCCCTCAGTGCCCTGTGGCTGGGGGAAGGGGCCGAGCCCTCCATGTGAGGCGCTCAGTCTGTTGTTTCTTTCACCTTTTCCCAGTACCTTTCCTCCGAGGAGCTCCGGGTGCTTCCCAAACATGGCTGCCAAGGTGAACGGGAACCCCCACAGCACCCCCGTGAGGTAGGTGACCTGCTGTGACTCAGCTGGGGATAGACGGGACTAGGGTGATCACTTGGCTGCTGCTGACAGGCAAGGGTCCAGTGATGCTTGGCTGGGGTGAGGGAGGTGAGCAGTGAAGAGGGAGACGACAGGGGTGACTTGCCCTCTATAGGAACGAGTGACTCTCTTGTCATCCACAGTGGTCCTCCGGCCTTTCTGACCCAGGGCTGGGGCAGCACCTACCAGGCATGGCAGCAGCCCACACAGCAGGTCCCAAGTAAGTGACTCGGGGTGGGGAGCGCATGCCCTCCAGAAAGGCTGGGACCCACAGAAGTCCTGGGGCTAAAACGCCCCCACTCAACTCAGCCCGCAGGCCCAGGATGCCCCTCCCCAAATGACAAGGAGCCCTCCGGGTGGGGCTTGGGGCTTCCTGTAGGCCTGTCCCGGGGGTTGCGCATGCTCAGAGAAAGGCCCAGAGGGAAACTGCACAAACCTCAGGCGGACTGGGGACTCTGGGCTGGCCCTCTTGGCCCACCTGTCCTCCTCAGAGCTCTGGGCCTCTGTCACTTTTGTTCCCCATGCATGGATGGGCTGTGGGTGTGGGTTGAGCCAGCTTCTGCCCCTCCTCTTCTCCACTCCCTGTGGGGGCTGGCTCCTGGCTGCCTTCCTCTCCCCTCTTAGGCTTTCATCTCCTGAACTTTTCAGAAGCAAACAGCTAGGGAATGACCTCTGCTGCGTCCCGCCTCTCAGGGAGACTGGTTGTGAAGGAGGAAGTCCGGGTGGGAATCAAAGCCCCGCCCACTCTGTCCCCACAGCCGCTTCAGGAGCCACTGTTGGGTTTCAGAGCTGGTCTAGCTCCTCTGGCATGGCCTTCACAAAGCAAAGCAGAACGCTTACCTTAGTACGATCCAGGTTCTCTTGACCCATCTGGAATTTCTGTCCTGTGTTTGGAAAGGCTTCTTCAGTGTCTGCAGATTCTGACAGCACCCAGGCCGCAGGCCCCGCCTCACAGCCTGGCTCGGACGGCCTGAGCCCCCTTTCTGGGGTTCTGCCGCTTTAGCCTTACACAGAGTCCTGAGGCCAGTGCTGTGTGGCCTTAGGCACGCCCTGCCTTCTCTGGAGCTCCACTCTGTCACATGTAAAATCATGGGTTTGGGTTTGAATTCTAAAGCACTTGCATGCTCTGAAATTGTATAGTTGTGTTTCTTCCCTTTTTTCCCCAGTATCATCTTATGAAACGTTTCAAACATCATAGAACACTGCAGTGAGCACCCACACAGCACCCAGATCCCACCATTCCCTTTCTCTCTGCATGCTTGACCATGGGTGCTGACCCTGTTTCCTTTCCTTGGCTCCTCACGTCTCGGTGGGAGCTGCACTCACAGTGCCGGGGCCTTTGGGTGCTGTTCTGGTCTGAGAGAATCCTCCAGGCAGCAAGGTGGCCAGGATTGACTCTGGAGACATGAGGCCTGGGAGGCCTTCAGGGGAAACGGCCCCCTGGCGGGTGGAACTGGCAGAGGCCTGTTGGGCTGAGGAAGGGAGAGCGCAGGAGGCGCCCAGTGGTCTTGCCACCCTTGAGCAGCCTTCATCTCATGTTGTTGAGCTTGGCTCATTTGTTTATTCCGGGGTTTTGCAGTTGAGAACCAGTTTGGGTTGGTGAAATATTGTTTGGCAGTGAAGTCCTGCTTGCTGGCGCCCTCTGTGTCAGAGGGAAGAGTGTTTGCTGCCTGTGTCCCTCCTTCGCCCTGCCCCTGTGGGAGGAAGCGGGGCATCTCCTTCCCTCCTTCCCCCCGCTGCTTGCTGCTTCCTCAGCCTGCAGTAAAGTGAACTGGTGGAGAAAGCATTTGGCTGCGCTCACTCTGCAGTGGTTTGCCCTTCCTGCCTGCTTCAGGCTACAATCCTCACAGGAGACAAGACAGTGAGGGGGTCTTTTGTGGGCCTTGGCAGGTGGACACCTGAGCCAGCCCCAGCCTGGGCAGAAGGAAAGGTCCTGACCCACTGCTGTGGTCAAGTCTTTGAACCCCGTCTTGTGCCTGGCTCGGTGCTGAGGCTGTGTTTCCGGGCGCCGGCTGTTTCTCTGCCCCTCCCAGTCTTCATTGCCCCACAGCCTAGACGGTGAACCCAGGGTCCTGCATGGAAGAGAAGGGCTGGACCACCCCAACACGTGCATCCCCTTTCCCTCTGCCCTACCCCAGCACAGCCTCAGGCTGGACAGGGTCCAGAAGCCCACTGGTGCTGCCCACCCCTGTGCCGCGTGGCCCCTCCACTTCCGCTGGTCCAGAGGCACAGCCCCCAGATCTTGAACAGAGGGCCACGCGAAGAGTGGTCAGCAGCCTCTGGAGTGTTTGTCCTTTGGAAGGCTGACTGGGGAGCCTCAAAACAACAGTGGCTGTGGCCCTCAAGCCCCCGTCTGTGGACCCACATCTCATGTCTCCGTCTGAAGAGGGTCAGGCTAGCCTTGCCAGTTGCCCTGTGAGGGGCAGCCGGTCTGCCCAGCCCCACCCTTACAGTGATCTTAGTTACACCCCTCCCAGCCCTGCCAGCTGCCGCCTCCTTCCCAGGCAGGGCTGTGGAACCGTGTGTGGCCAGGAGCGAGGTGGAGGAGTGCAGGGCAGGGCCTGCAGTTGGCGGGCTGGGGCCGAGGCTGTGAGGAGCCCGGAAGGCCTGACTGCTTTTGTGTTCTTCGCACAGGCCAGCAGAGCCAGCCGCAGAGCAGCCAGCCCAGCTACAGCAAGGCCTGGGAAGACTATTACAAAAAACAGAGTGAGTGCCCGGCCCTCCTAACCTGTGGCTCCCGGCAGCACAGTCCCCTCTAGCCCGGAGACTTCAGAGTCCAAGGCTCGCTGTCACCTCTTTTTTCCCTAATGCCTTCCCGGTGTGGCTTGATCTCATTATTTGCCTTCGTCCTCCACCCCTGTGCCTGCCTGCTTCTCTCTGTCAGGAGTCCAGGCATAGTCAGTTAGTGACCACAGGCTGCCCTGCGACCCGGCACAGGCCTGCCGTCCCCTCCTCTTTGTTCTCCCCCTGCTGGGCTCCAAAGGACTTCGAGGTAGGCGTGGCACCTGGAAGTGTGGGCTCAGCTGGCGTCTGGTCTCCTTAGGGACAGATTCGGGTTGGGTGCCACCTGGCCAGCAAACAGACCAGCCGGGCATCTTGTTCTCTGTCTCGGTGCTTCAGGGCAGATGAGGAAAGGTGGTGAGACTCAGGGAAGGAGGCCTTACCTGGACATTGAAGCTGGGTGCTTCGTTTCTCCTCTTAAGTAGGTCAGTTTTCTAACTACCAGAAACGAAACCAGCCTTCAGAGCAGGGCGAGGGACCCACAAGCCAAAGGTCTCTGGGGAGTCATCTAAAGTTAGTGCCAGACTCTGCGTATTTCCACCATTGCTAGACCGGAGGGTTGGGGATTTGTTTAAAGCGGTATCTCCCGTGCCTTGTGTTTGGAGGCTGTTTCTTGCTGGTTGGAAGAGAGCGGGTTGAAGGCCACCAGAGAAATGGTCCCCTGGTGTTGGAATCATTGCCGGGTTCATGGCCCTTCTAGGGGTTGGAGGCGAGGGTGTTCAGTCACGGTCACCAGGGGACCTGGTGTAAGCTCAGCTGCCCAGTCTTCCCCAAATCCCGATTCCCAGACACACCTGGGCCTGTGTTCAAGCTGTTTACAGGATTTGGACACTATCACAGGCACCCAAGCTAGGCACTCCCCTTCTCCCCCACCCCCAACCCAGAATCCCGCCTTCTGTCTCTGTCACGGGCCCGGGAGCTGAAGGGGCAGGCAGATGCAGAGAACGCGCTTCCGCAGAGAGAAGGCAGACGTGAGACTTGGTCTTCACAGGCATAGCAGGGGCCGGGCAACAAACGGCTAACCGCACCTTTTGTAGCAAGCACTCCTGCAGCACCAGCCTCGCTGCACCACCTCCCAGACCTCCCTGCCTTCCAGCCGTCCGGAGGGAGAGCAGATGCCCAGGGCCTTTGGGAAGGGCCCTGCCTAGTGCGCCCCTGCTCCCGATAACCTGTTTCCTCCTTTGTCAACCAGGTCACGCCGCCAGTGCTGCTCCTCAGGCCAGCTCCCCACCGGACTACACAATGGCCTGGGCAGAATATTACAGACAGCAGGTCGCTTTCTACGGACAGACGTTAGGGCAGGCGCAGGCCCACAGCCAGGTCTGTAGCTAATCACCAGCACCGCAGCCACTCCCCATCCCCAAGCCCCTGTTCCCAAGCCTGTGTTTCCTGACCCCAGGATGAGAGCACTGGGCTAGGAGGAGCCTCTGGGCCCCGCAGCTCCTCAGCAAGGCTGCATCTGCTGAGAGCCTGGCTCCAGCCCCTCTGTCCCTCCTCGCTCCAGAGAAAAAGAGTGTAGGCCAAGTGGGAGGATTGGTGGTGCAGCCCCTGCAAGGAACTGCCTGATCTTTTCTCAAGTCCGGGCCCCAGACCTCAGGGCTGATGAGTAGTTTCTGTCTTCCTCTAAGCCTCAGCTTCCCTGACTGTAAAGGAACGTGTGCAGAGGGTGCGCTCCAGCGGCTGCTCCCGAGCAGGGTGGAGTGGCCAGGCCGTCAGCCATGCCTGGGCAGCAGCAGGAGGCAGGGAGAGGGCAGTGGGGGCAGAGCCCAGCTTTCCTCTTCTGCGCACAACCTAGAGGGTTCTGTTCAGAGGCCAAAAACGGATTTCTTATTAAAGAAGGGAAGACGTCCAAATGTTCCCACAGGGCGCATTTCCCACCTGCTGCCAGTCAGGTCCTCATGGATAACATTTCAGTTACCTCCTGGCCCTGGACTCAGCTGGGTAGGCCACTCACTGCCAAATTGGCCGTCTGGGTCTGGTCCTGGGGAAACAGGTGTCAGGGCTGGTGGCGACAGCGGCTCACACTGTCCGCTCTTCCCTGCCCCGAGTCCCTAGCAGAGAGAGAAGCCCAAGACCACCTCTTCAGCAGAGGTTTTATCTGGCCCAGCTCCCGTGACGCGAGACCCAGGGGAGGTGCTGGGACACGGCCCCGTCTGTGTGTGTCGGTGCCGGCATGGCGCCAGAGGGGAGAGGGTGGCCTGTCACCTCCTCACTGGCACGCAGACCTGAGAACCTGCCATCACAGACTAACTCCTCTTCCCTTCCGCCCACAGGAGCAGTAGGACAGTGTCCTCCTGGCCAACTTTCCCTCAGAATCATTGTCAAAGAAAACCTATTTGTAACAGGTTTTTACATTCGCAAACCTTTTGATGAAGAACCGTTGTTTTGTTCTGTGAAACACTATATTTAGATTAACGGAATTTTTCTAAAAATCGGGAAAGTTAGTTACTAAAAATTGCTGATCGTTTTTGTTTCATTATTTTTGTTATTTCAAATGTATAAGCTCTGGGATTCTTTTTGGAGCAATACCTACAAAGTCAGGCACCGGAACGTGCCTCAGAGCTGTGACATTTCAACATGATGGTTTCGGTTTTGTTTTGTTTTGTTTTGTGTCCTTTTTATTTGCAGTTTTTTCTGTTGCAACAGAAAGTGGCTTGGAAGTCTTAGGTGGTATGTAACAAATTCTTTTTAAAAATTTTAAAGCAGTATTTAAGTATTCTTAAATGTGTAAATTCATTTAATGTTTTACTTCTAATTTGTTGTATCTTGGCTGTCTGGTTTTATTGCATTTTTAAAAAAACTGAACTATTATGTATTGTAATGAATGATGTGAATTCTGAATTGAGACAGATAATTGTATTGCTGTCCAACAGGGGTTGGGAGGGGCATTTTGTAGGGTTTGTATAATTTCTAGAGTTCTAAAGGGGTAATATAAAAATGTGTTCGTGTGTTTAGCATACGTTTGTTTCATGTCTCCATTACCAGTCGCAACTGTGTATCTAAGACCTCCAAGCTTGTTTTTAAAACAAAACAAAAAACCTTTCTCTATTCTCTCAGAAATATAAATACTGTTATTTTTAATATTAAGAAATTCAATATAACTTTTAACACACACTGTGGAACATTAAACCATATAAAAATGTAGTTATAACTATTTTTAATTCCAAGGTGTTGTTTGCTCTTTTCTTTTAAATATTTTCTTAATATTTTGTCAGATTAACTAGATGAATAAATTAGTATTAACCGCATTATGAATTAAATAATTTTGATTTAATAAAAGGGATAATATGATTTCCAGTGTTTACTGTAGTGTATCTTGTACAGATAACATGTATTTTTAAAGGAAAAAAAACGGAATTGAAGCTATTTTTTCTTGCATTTCTAATTGACCTGAGGGACATTCCGTTTGAAATGTACTGAAGTTACAGTTTCTGGTTTTTTCTCCTTATTTTTCTTATAATGCTTGAAATGTCTAACTATTAAAAAAGACAATTGGAAAATGTTATGCATGTGGTTTTTAAGAAAAAAAGTGTTCTTTTTATTTGACTGACAATTCATTTTACACTCTATATAATAAAATTTCCACAAGACATCTTGTGGGCAAAGTCTTTCTGGCCTGTTTGCCTTCCATTCGCCAGTTTGTCCCTCTGCCCCCTGCCCGCTGCCGCGCGAGAGGGCAAGAGGATTCCTGCGGGCCTCGCCCATCGTCTTGCACCGCGTCAGCCCGCCTTCGCTGGTGCACAGCCTAGATGTCTAGCTAGTTCGTTAAGCTAATTTTATTTTAATGGCTTTGATTTGACAGCTTGACTTGAGTGCCGTGGTTGGGCTCAGCTCCCCTTCCGTCACAGTCAGTACGGGAGTGTCATCGGATGGAGCTGGGAGATGCATTGAAGGGCATGCGGCGGGTCAGCGGGCTTCTGCGACTGACTGGGCAGCCCCTTGCCCTCCGCCCGCTCCCCTTCCCGGCATGCCCATGCACACACACTCGCCTATAAATGTAGGTGGGCTGCCCTAGGCGCGGTGCGGTTTCCCTGACTGTTGCTGCCTGCAACCCCCGCCTCCTTGTCCCCAGCCTCACCTGTGGCTCTGGTGGTGGTGCTTTCTCGCTCTCAGCCCCGTGCCCACGGTGGGATGCCAGATTGCCAGGAGGGCTAGGAGGCGTCAGCACACGTGCTCATTCTATCCTTCCTTTCATGAAGAAACAAATGGGGCGTCCTTCCCCAGAGGGGTTAAGTTACAGTCCTGTGGTCTTAGGACTCGTGGCGACAGTGTGGGCCTCCGACTTGGAAGAGCATTAAGGAATAGAGAACACCAGCCTTCGCCTTTTTTTTTTTTTTTTTTTTTACCTTGTGTCCCGTTGGTTGGGGTGACTGGCTTTGAGCAGTGTCTGCTTTCATGTCTGAGCGGGCCCTGCCTTCGCCCTCAGCCTTTCTGTGCGGGTCGCCTCTACTTAGATGCAGGGACCTGTTTCAATCCCGAACGGGGCTTGCTGGGGTGTGCCTGGCCAATACTGGCCGCTTGTCTGTACTCCAAGCTCTGACGGGAGGGGAAAAAAAGCATCTGTGGCTCCTTCAGGCCGAAAAGGGGTGTGGAGAGCAGCCCATCTGCGGCCATGGCAGGCCTGTTGAGAGCCGGAAGACAAAAAGGAGATGTGGCATTTTTAACTGCACCTCTAGAGAATCGAGTTTGACGTTGAGAAATTGAATAGTAAAAGGCACTTGGAAAGTGGGGGGAGGGGGCCGAGTGGGAGGAGGGCGTAAACGCTGATGACGGTAATGGGAATTCGGGAGAGGGCATTACAGAGAAGACTTCCTTCTAATTCATCTTCCAAGCTCTGTGCCAAAACAGCATTTGGCATGGTTCACAGGGAGCGATTGTGTGATAATGAACCCTAAGGTGTCCCTTAATTGAAGACTGAGCATTGCGGTTTGTGCCAAGAGTCATAAATGGTGCAGGCTTGCGGAGGATGCATTTTCTTAAATGTATCGGTAAGTACAGATTAGCGCTTGTCCCCAGTGAAATGCCCATACTATAAATTATGGAAATCTCTCTCTCTCTCTGATGCAATCTTTTATTGGGGGGAGGGGGGTGTAGTACCACAGGAGGCAGGGGGGAAAGTTTGCAAGCATATGAAATTTGGCCTCTCATTAACATGGCGCCCAAGGAAGACGATTTTCATCAGCAGTCTGGTGTACTGGAAGGCTAAAGTGCTTGAAATGTACCAAGTTCAGCGGTTGTGTTCCATTAAGAAAGATGCATGGTCATCACTGTAAGGGCAGTCCGGGTCGGGGAGGCGGGGCGGGCGGCTGCCCAGTCTGCCTTCTGAATGCATGCCCCACCCCCACCCGCCACCGCCCATGCCTACTGGGTCTCTGCCAGCCTCCCAGGTTCAGGATTCATCAAGGACCCTGCTGAGGCGATCCCAGCCCCACCCAGAAATTTGGGCTGGGGTTGAGGAGTTCTCAGCCAACGGGCCTCAGTCAATACCCCTGGCTTCTCATCAGGTAGGAGGCACCATCTTTCCAGGGTCACTCGAAAGCGGTGACCAGCCATGATGTCCCAGAGCCCCCACAGTAGGGTCGGCTGGGGTACAGACGGCACAGTGCAGTGCCTGGTCTGCGAGAACGTGGGTCACCTCAGAGTCGCGGCTTCTAGCTGGCTACAGCCTCACTGTCTCCCAGCCCCACTTCTGGTCCACTAGGGCCCAGCTGGGGTTTTTTAAGATGGGCTGAAGCAAATGGGCCTGATAGATGCTTAGAGATTAATGGCCAGAAAGTGGCTTGACACTCAATTCCGCAGGGGGCTGCCGGCCCTGCGTCTGTGTCTTGGGTGGGGTGGAAGGGGAAGCAGAGACAACCCTCACCACCCTTGAAACAATGGTCATCTTGCCCGTCCTTTGTCTTGAAGGTGTTTCTGTAGCATCTACCAAGGGGGTCCTGGCCCTTTCCAGGCACCTGCTTCCAAGGTGGTCTCTGCACCCTGGGAGGTAGAAAGGCCTAATCTCCCCATTTCACAGATGACGGCTCAGAGTCAAAGGCTGAGACCTGCCCTTATTCACACGGGCATGGAGGGGCCAGTTCTGTGCCAGGTTCTATGCTGCATTCCAGCTGGGGCTTCAGAGGACAGCATGACCACCGCCTCCTGGGGGTCCACTGTCTTTTGTAGTCACCACCAAGGGAGGTGGTTGGCAGGATGGGGAGACGATCTTAAAAGTTAGGGCTGAGGACCAACCATGGCCAGCCCTGGAATTGCATTACAGTCAATCATCGTTTTCAGTTCTGTATTTGCAAATTCACCTACTCACTGAAATGTATTTGCAACCCCCAAATCTACCCTCACAGGGCATTTGCTGCCATTCACGGTGAAAAACGTGAGTTACTCAATGCACGTGTTCCCAGCTGAGGTGGGAAGGTGACGGCGCTCTGCCTTCTGGTTCCAGCTCTTGCGCCACAAACAAGCGCTGTTCCTTGGAGTCTACTTAGTGCCACAGTTTTTGCTTTTTGTGCCTTTTTTTTTTTTTTTTTGACAGTTTCACTGTCTAAAGTGGGCCCCAAGCATGGCACTAAAGGGCCGTCTAGCAGTCCTGAGCATAGGAAGACTGAGATGTGGCTGATGGAGACAATACATGCGTTCTGCTGCTTGCAGGCTTGAGTTACAGTGCTGTTGGCCATGAGTTCAATGTTAATAGGTGAACAATAAACATATTAAGTAAGGAGTCTTCATTTTTATTTATTTTTTATTTTTATTTATTTATTTATTGAGATGGAGTCTTGCTCTGTCACCTAGGCTGGAGTGCAGTGGCACCATCCCAGCTCACTGCAACCTCCACCTCCCAGGTTCAAGCAATTCTCCTGCCTCAGCCTCCTGAGTAGCTGGGATTACAGGCATGTGCCACCACACTTGGCTAAATTTTTGTATTTTTACTGGAGACGGGGTTTCACCACGTTGGCCAGGCTGGTCTCGAACTCCTGATCTTAGACGATCCACCCATCTGGGCCTCCCAAACAGCTGGGATTACAGGCATGAGCCACTGTGCCCGGCCAATAAGGGGTCTTTAAACAGAAACACACATAAAGCAAGATTATGGAGTGCTGATGCATGCCTGTAGTTCCAGCTACTAGAGAGGCTGAGTCAGGAGGATCACTTGAGCCCAGGAGTTCAAGGCTGTAGTGAGTTATGTCCATGCCTGGGAATAGCCACTGCATTCCAGCCTGAGCAACATAGCAACACCCCATCTCAAAAAAATTAAAAAGAGGCCAGGCGCAGTGGCTTGTGCCTGTAATCCCAGCACTTTGGGAGGCCGAGGCGGGCGGATCGTCTGAGATCAGGAGGTTGAGACCAGCCTGGCCAACATGGAGAAACCCCGTCTCTACTAAAAATACAAAAATTAGTCAGGTGTGGTGGCACACACCTGTAATCTCAGCTACTCAGGAGGCTGAGGCAGGAGAATTGCTTGAACCTGGGAGACAGAGGTTGCAGTGAGCCGAGATCATACCACTGCACTCCAGCCTGGGCGACAGAGTGAGACTCCATCTGAAAAAATAACAATAATAATAAAATTTTTAAAAATAAAATAAATAGAAAAGATTATCTGTAGATTGGTGTGGACACTGGCTTGCAGGAACCTTGCCTTGTATTTCCCTTAGGAACAAGGGTTCAGTATTTCATGATTCAGTGTTTGCAGAGACTTTATACATCACTACCATGAAGAACTACAATCCACCAGCTCTTACTTTCCTGTAAGGAAAATCCGATTCTTATCCTATTTTGGAGATGAGGAAATAGGGTTCTGTTTGTTTGTTTGTTTGTTTGTTTGTTTGTTTTTTCTGAGATGGAGTCTCGCTCTGTCACACAGGCTGGAGTGCAGTGGCGTAATCTCGGCCCACTACAAGCTCCACCTCCCGGGTTCAAGCAATTCTCCTGCCTCAGCCTCCTGAGTAGCTGGGATTACAAGTGCCTGCCACACCTGGCTAATTTTTGTATTTTTAGTAGAGACGGGGTTTCACCGTGTTGGCCAGGCTGGTCTCAAACTCTTGACCTCGTGATCCACCCGCCTTGGCCTCCCAAAGTGCTGGGATTACAGGCGTGAGCCACCGCGCTCAGCCAAGGAAACAGGTTTGAATAGGTTCTGACCAGAGTCATACCATGGTTGTGCATATGTGACCTGAGAGGTAACCAGGACTATGCTCCCCATTTTACAGATGAGGCTGGAACCTGTCCTTACTCACACAGGCTTGGAGGGGCCAGTTCCACGCCAAGTTCGTGCTACACTCTGCTGGGGTTTCAGCGGAGAGCTACACTTGCTGAGGCCTCCTCGAACCTCAGCCTGGCTGCAATACCGGCCTGCCTTGCCACACCCACACATGAGCAGAGCCAGACACATGTGCAAGGAATACCTAACATGGTTCTAGTGGGGCCTGGCGGGTTCAGCCTACCTAAGGCAGCAGGGTGTGAGGCATGAATGTGTAAACGAAACTTGGGTCTGAGTCCTGTCTGCAGCTCATATGACCTAACCTCTGGTATCCTAAGTGTGGGGCTAGTGGGCACCTGCCTGCCCGTGGGGCTACGATAGGAGTCAATGGCACACAAGTAAAGCGCTTCACACCTG